GGTTACTTCTGTGTGGTATGCTCAATTTGATTTCCCCAGCTATGTAAGAGGTTTTCTTTAAAACAGGAACTTTCCCAAAACAAAATACTTGTGTAACGACGAACCATCATTTTTTTTAAAAGCAGCATTTGCTGCAATGCACAGTCCTCTCTGCCTCTAGATATCACTGTCGCTGTCTTCTGATAGCATCATTCAACCCACTTCCTGTGAGCCCAGGCTGTCATGGGCCTGCCCACTGGGAGTACATCATCACATTGTCCTTAGCCCAGAGTACTACTGTACTCAACAGTGCTCATATGTCATTATGGAGCAAGAACTGACCACCACAACAGGAGATAAGGAAGGACATATTTAAGTACAGGGTGAATACGCTGGAATACGGTAAGTTGCTGCTGTTGACATCTTCTCTGCCATTAGCTGGCTGCAGTGCTTATTCTCCAGCTTCAGTCATAAATTGGCAATACATATGCAGCTCTGGAGTTCAGATTTAATTTGCTGCCTGTTCTTCCTGGTCTTGCAGTACTGAAGTCAAGGGATTAGTATGGTTACCAGAGAGGAGGTCAACAGTGGCAGACCCTGTACTTCTCTGAGCCCTTTAAAGTGGTCCTGTACTGTGCCCTAAAAGGGCAAGCAGAGGGAAAAGTCACCAGTATTACCTGTGGCCTCCCAGATGCTGATCTTTCCCCATTACTGACTTAGTATGTCTGGTTCTGTACTATGGGGTTTATTTACTTATGCTGGAGAGTGCTCAGGCTCACTTATGCATAGAAACCAATCAGCTTCTAACTTTAGCTTGTTCAATTAAGCTTTGGCAATAAAACCTGGAAGGGGATTGGTTTTCATGCAGAAGTGAGATTTTGCGCCCTCCAGCTTTAGTAAATAAACCCCTGTATCTCTGTGTGGAGGCAGCCATCCTAGTAGAAGCAGAGCTTTGCTCCCTCATGTCAGGGCTGCTCCCTAATGATTGGTACAGTAATGCTGAAGAAAGAGAAGTGAAGAATGCATACAGTCAGGTCCATAAATATTGGGACATTGACACAATTCTAACATTTTTGGCTCTATACACCACCACAATGGATTTGAAATGAAACAAACAAGATGTGCTTTAACTGCAGACTGTCAGCTTTAATTTGAGGGTATTTACATCCAAATCAGGTGAACGGTGTAGGAATTACAACAGTTTGCATATGTGTCTCCCACTTGTTAAGGGACCAAAAGTAATGGGACAGAATAATAATCATAAATCAAACTTTCACTTTTTAATACTTGGTTGCAAATCCTTTGCAATCAATAATAGCCTGAAGTCTGGAACACATAGACATCACCAGACGCTGGGTTTCATCCCTGGTGATGCTCTGCCAGGCCTCTACTGCAACTGTCTTCAGTTCCTGCTTGTTCTTGGGGCATTTTCCCTTCAGTTTTGTCTTCAGCAAGTGAAATGCATGCTCAATCGGATTCAGGTCAAGTGATTGACTTGGCCATTGCATAACATTCCACTTCTTTCCCTTAAAAAACTCTTTGGTTGCCTTTGCAGTATGCTTTGGGTCATTGTCCATCTGCACTGTGAAGCGGCGTCCAATGAGTTCTGAAGCATTTGGCTGAATATGAGCAGATAATATTGCCCGAAACACTTCAGAATTCATCCTGCTGCTTTTGTCAGCAGTCACATCATCAATAAATACAAGAGAACCAGTTCCATTGGCAGCCATACATGCCCACGCCATGACACTACCACCACCATGCTTCACTGATGAGGTGGTATGCTTAGGATCATGAGCAGTTCCTTTCCTTCTCCATACTCTTCTCTTCCCATCACTCTGGTACAAGTTGATCTTGGTCTCATCTGTCCATAGGATGTTGTTCCAGAACTGTGAAGGCTTTTTTAGATGTCATTTGGCAAACTCTAATCTGGCCTTCCTGTTTTTTGAGGCTCCCCAATGGTTTACATCTTGTGGTGAACCCTCTGTATTCACTCTGGTGAAGTCTTCTCTTGATTGTTGACTTTGACACACATACACCTACCTCCTGGAGAGTGTTCTTGATCTGGCCAACTGTTGTGAAGGGTGTTTTCTTCACCAGGGAAAGAATTCTTCGGTCATCCACCGCAGTTGTTTTCCGTGGCCTTCCGGGTGTTTAGGTGTTGCTGAGCTCACTGGTGCGTTCCTTCTTTTTAAGAATGTTCCAAACAGTTGTTTTGGCCACGCCTAATGTTTTTGCTATCTCTCTGATGGGTTTGTTTTGTTTTTTCAGCCTAATGATGGCTTGCTTCACTGATAGTGAGAGCTCTTTGGATCTCATCTTGAGCGTTGACAGCAACAGATTCCAAATGCAAATAGCACACTTGAAATGAACTCTGGACCTTTTATCTGCTCATTGTAATTGGGATAATGAGGGAATAACACACACCTGGCAATGGAACAGCTGAGAAGCCAATTGTCCCATTACTTTTGGTCCCTTAACAAGTGGGAGGCACATATGCAAACTGTTGTAATTTCTACACCGTTCACCTGATTTGGATGTAAATACCCTCAAATTAAAGCTGAAAGTCTGCAGTTAAAGCACATCTTGTTCGTTTCATTTCAAATCCATTGTGGTGGTGTACAGAGCCAAAAATGTTAGAAGTGTGTCAATGTCCCTATATTTATGGACCTGACTGTATATCCACTGACTGAATAAAGCAGAAACAGGGAGATCCTTGCACTGCAGGTTCTCAGGTACAGCTTCCTTTAGGGCTGGTTCACACCAGGAATTGCGTTCAATTGAGTGCAAGGCATTTTCAGCCTATTCATCTGAATGGGCTGAAACTGCACTGCACCAAAAGTAGTGCAAAGACTAATTTTAAAAATGCACTGCAAACAACCTGATCATATGGTACCTCTGTGCAGGCACTGCAGCTGTGACATCATTAGCATTGCATTGACATCCGCTGCAATTTGCAAGGGAAATTAATTTTGAATGAGTTGCGAGAAACACGCATGGAACACGGATATCCTGCACCGTGTTCTAGTGCCAACGTTGCCCTCAAGCAGCAAAAACAATAAGCAGCACAAATAATGACATCGCCAAATCTTAATCCAAATCTAGTGAGACTAGCAGTCAGAAGCAGTGCCTTAAAGGATCTCACACAGCAGATATACAGCTCAGACTCAAAGCACAGAAAGTGAACTGCTACATTGCAGTATGTCAAGACAAAACAAATCTTTCAGCTGTTGGACAATTTAGGCAGAAATAACACTTCTAGATGTTCCTCATAGGATAACAAACCTTCACTTTCTGAGTTCAGGTCGACTTTTATCTTCATGCAAACATGCTTCAAAATTGAAGAGGGTTTTCTTTTCATTTATCGCATAAGATTTAGACATTAAAGACAACTGTCAAATGTGTACCGTTTGAATTACATATTCAACTTCATATAGACACAAAAAGTATATGAAATTTATTTTAAATGTTATATTCACATTTATAATTAAATGCATCTTGTTATGCTTACAATCTATTTCACTGCAGAGAAATTTAAAGCCCAACTCCAGATAAAGCTTTCAATTTCATGTTTAGTAGAATGAGCAGGGGGTAGAGGCTCTGGCAGGTTTTGATTTTCATCTGCATTTCTGTTGGGAAGAGTTCTCCCCCTTTCTTGTCAGGAATAAGTATTCGAAAAATCTCTCCAACAATGACAGAGACAAAAACACATTTATCAATAGAATTAGAATTGTTTAGAAAGTTTTTGCCTCCTCTTTCAGCTACAACTGGACCTTTCATTTCTTATACAGGCTTCACTGGAACAGGAAACAAGGAACAATCTCCCTAATTTCATGGAAAAAAAAAAAATAGAAGTTTTTTTTCCCCAACACTATCCAAGCCCCCCCATTAACATGGCATGCATTAAGGCAGTCTGTTGAAATGAATGGTCTGCCCACACACCCTAGCATGTATAAAAATGGAAATTACCATTTTCTTGGAACACAGCACACTCCATTTCCTTAGTGCATTTGTGTGTCAGTCAAATGAATGGCAATACACTGTAACTCCTGTTACTGCACTGCACAAATGTAAATCGGCCCTTAATTAATAACCCTTCATTAATCAAGTCTATGGCAATACAAAAGCAGCTGTAATTGCAATAAATTCTAAATGATCTCACAAGCATCTCAAACTGATGTCAAAAGCATGCTGCATTTACCCATTCAAGTCTGTTGACACTGGTCTCTGTACTAACTTACCCCACCACCAGTGAGAGAAACCACAGTGCGCAAAAAAGGCATCGGGAAGTGTTGGATTTGAAGACGCTTCTCTGAAGAAGATCAGAGGAATGGGGGGGTAGCACCCTCTTTTTCTGCAGGTGTTGCTTTGTTACTTTTTTAAACCAGCATCTCTGCGGGATGTTTCTGCATATAATGCAGGGCCTAGAATACAGAGGACAACCCAACCCAAGGTGGTTTGGCAAGGAGTAACAAGTACAGTTTTGCATATTCACAAATTCAGGCACCTCTGAATCTATCAGTGAACACTTTCACCACAAGCTTTCCAGATATTTAAAGTGTTTTTTCTTGCCGAAACATACTTTTTTTATTTTAGATATGGGGAAGGATTAAACATTTTACTGCTAGCCAAATTTCCTCAGAAATACATGAAGGAAAACACAAGCAAAAATTAAAATGTTGTTATCTTACTAAAGTAGGAGAAGGCTAGAACCCCTTTTAGCTTTTTATGCTGTTTGGGTCCCTGTTGAAAGTTTGCCTGTACTTCCTTTTTGCAAGTGATCCTTTCTAATAGAGCCCCGGATAGCAGTTAAAACCCAACAGTGGAGCTAATCTTCACCCACTCTATCTAAAATAAAAAAATGTCTGAATTTACACTTTAATATGCATTCAATAGCCAAGAATTATGTGTCTCTTAACCAAGTGTAAGATATAACCTTAACCACTACTTCTGCCATCCTATAGCCAAGCCTTAGTAAGGAGTGAAACATAAAATGGACCCTCTGTGCAGAAAATCCACTATTAGAAGAACGTTGGCATGAAAGCCCCTCGGTTGTCTGGCCTCCTTGGTGGAAAGCCACCAGGGCCTGGTAAATTAGGGTTGATGCGAGGCCTCAGAGGCTGGAAGGGGTCCATCATTGGTCTTCTGCCAGGTACAAAAAGAGAAAGGGGGTCTCTAGCAATGGGTAGTATGGGGCGCTCATCATATTCACCTCCAATGATGCCAGGTGGATAGGGAAAGTTGGGTGGAAATGGGTCAAGGACAAAAGGGTTAGGCATGTAGGGTGGAGGAGGAAATGGCTGGAAAATGTGATGTGTAGTCATCCGACTCATTCTTGCTTTATGCATCGCCTTGTACAGCTGTAGAACATAAAAAGAAGAGGTGAGGGATGAGAAGTATGCAAATAAAAATGTAATATTTCTATACATGCGTATAACTAACATACCGGTAACAGTAGTACCAAATGCCTCCATACCACTGTATTTCCTGATAATTTATGCTCAACAAATACAATATTTGGCACCTGCCCGTCACACCTACAACTACATAGTCAAAAGAAAGGGAAAAATGAAGAGCTTACAGCAACCTCAGTGTACAGATCCTTGTACATAAAATAGCAATCCTAAACATTACACCTAAACCGTATGAAGAAGAGTTCTACACTAGTCATTTCAGTGTATGTTCATGCACTATGCTTTAAAAGGGTAAAAAATAGCAAATTAAGAAAAAAAAAAAAATTTTATAGCATATACAATTGGGTCACAAGACATATTGTAATTGAATGTTATTAAAAATTAAAAATTACAGCGCTGTAATTTTCTGCAAAATGCAGAGCAATATGGCTATGGCAGAATGTGTACAGAATACCCCCCAGAAACAAAATGTCCTACTTGTGTGATTGGTTTACTGATTTTCCTAGAAGTCTGCACTAAGATACAAGTCAGATTTCAGGCATCCCCTCCGACAAAAATGTCATTTTTGGTGAAATACTACCAACAGAAAATAAAAGGATGCAGACCCTGCAATTTTCCTCATTAGAGCCCTGCAGGTGCAGCAGCTGATTGATAATTATGAAATCACTCCCATTACAGATTCACTCTCCACAAGGACACAGACAAACAAACAGCTCTTTCTTCAGAATAACAAAAAAAGTAGGAATCTACAGCAAAGTTTGTTAAAATCCCTGCAATGTACATAGATCACCCCGAGGGGGTGATTTATTATTTATTTAAAAAAATGGCAAGCTGAAGTTTAGCATCAGTTTCCAGCTTATTTAGAAGTTAGTGCAACCACATGTAAATAAGCAGAATATGTGCATTTTACATGTGTTTTACTGCACGTGGCGTTGCACAAACGCATGAGGCACTCCAAATACCCAGCTAAATTTTCTGCTTAAATCAGCTGAATATATTCCAGGTTCATCCAAACAAAAGATGTGCAAAATCTTACAATTTGTTTTTTTTACGGTAGAAAGTAGCCACAGTTCAAGTAGAATAGCCTGTCCTCTGCCAGCATTCTGCAGAGAAGGAGCCCTGCTCTCTGTACCGAAGCAATGGTCTCTATTCAGAGGTCTGACACACCCTGTTGAACTAATGGCACCCACCAGCGGGTCTGCATTTCTCTGTGCAGGTGGTGCGGCTGCATGGATTTTCGTGTGGATCCGCAGCGGCGGCACCCGCACATATGTGAACCTAGCCTAACTCTGGCTCTACTAAAAAGACAGCATATACCTGTGCAATTAGTGTGCCTGTTTTCTCCAAAATCTAGCCAAAACTGCCATATCACACAGTGGCCTCGCTCTGCCACACAACATTAACTGTTTTTAATCCTTATGCTACTAGCAATAATAAATAGATAGGAAGGTATATTATAAGTCGCATGTTTAGCTTTTTATTTTTTTACACTTCTTCAGTTGCTTTCTTGTTTCTGGCTTAGGCCAACATGATGTCATACATCCCAGGAGTCTTCATGGGCTTTTTATTATTTCCATCCGGAGGAGGGCTTTCTCAGCCGCCTGTCTGCATGCCTGAGCTAAGGGCAGATGGATTCCAGAAAGTAAATGGTACATGAACCATCTGCCTTTACACAAGATGGCCACAGCTAGAAATTCTAAGGTAGTGTTTTTCAAAGTGATAATTCAACAAGATAAAGTATGGAGATATGAATGGATAGGTGAGTTTGCTTGAATATTAAAAATGAATTAAACAGCATTTTCAGTTTGTGCTGCTCAGATACAGTTTAAATCCACTTTAAAGCATACCTAAACCCAAAAACAAACATATATATATTGTAATATATTGTAGCTACAAGTCCTTAGATGTGGTGGCTGAATTAGTTTTCATTTTATCAGGCTTTTTTCTTTTATTTTCACTGGTGATCCTCCCAGAAACCCACTTTCTGTCCTAGGGTAAGAACAATTACTGTACTTTATCTATGGAACAGTAGTGTTGTCGGCCTAAGACAGGACTACAGAGCACCTCCCCCTATCCTCTTTCTTTATAATATAGGGAAAGGTGCTTTGTAGTTCTAAAAGACAGATGAAATGTATTTGATAAGAATGCAGCACAGCAAAAAGTAGAGGAAGCTATCAACTCACAAGATTTCTGGCACAGTAACAGATATTTGTTATACACATATTGATACAAAAAAAAAACACTTTTAATTATACAATGTAATTCACATACCAAAAAGAAGCAAATAAGACAAGTTCATACTAGGGCTCTTGCACATGGCCTTAATTTTACAACATATGGGCGTACAAAAACATCTGTAGTAGTGGCGACCAGGATCCACAGCTGCAGCATATTTTAGCCCATAGGAATGCATTACAGAAAATACCATGCATCTACACAAGCAAACCCTCCAGCACTGACGCTTACTCGCACATGTGTACAGTAGTACTTTTCAAACCATAACATTGTATGCTTTGAAAAATATGTCCGTACACATGTGAATATGAGTGCTGGGGTTTCCACGTGTATACCCATGTACAGTGTTTCTTATAATGCGTGTCCATGGGCAATAATACACTGCAGCTCATACGCCTAAATATACGGCCATGTACAAGAGCCCTTAATGTCTGCTTGTTTTTCCATGCACAGGCTCACCTCTTTCCAGTCTGTCTGTGGGGTCCTTGAAAGTCGGTCTGTAATAAACATGAACCATTGAAACTCAGATTGTAAAATTGACCAGAACGGGATTGTTTTTTTTTTTTGTTCACCACAAAAGTCAAGTTTAGCCTTTCCAGTCAGTATTCTAAACTACAGTATGACAAAGTACTTTACAATCCTGGAGGAAACATTCTAGAAAACGTATATATACAGCCTGGTAAGGACAGAATTTACAAAGGAAGGTATGTGGAAAGGTATAGGTGAACAATGCATTAGCTTGTGTTTTTATTTTAAATTGTATCTAAACCCAAGAACAAAAATGTTATATATTGCATCTTACCAGTCCTGAAATGTGGTGGCTGCATTACTTTTCTTTTTCAGGCTTTTATCCCTTTTTTTTACATGGCCATCCTGCCAGTAACAATCTACCTGTCCTAGGGCAACAACACTTACCTACTGTATTGTATCTATGGAGGAATAGTGTTGTCACCATAGGACAGGACTACAAAGCCCCCTTCCCACTCCTCTTCTCTCTAATATGTTAAAACTTACAGCATATCAGATTTTAATGACTGGGTTTAGATCTAATTTACCAATGTAAAAATGACACTCGCATATTATTAATAACTCACCTCGGAAATCCCTTCTGCACAAGAACTTCCACATGGTGGGGTCTTTCGTGTCTCCATGTAGATCTTTGCAAGAGGCAGAAAGTGAGAGAAGTGAACGCACATCCAGAAGGCGGAAGATACGCAGCTTTAGTTCCAGCGGTAAAACCAGGAGACCAAACACATCAGGGAGTTCTAGGGCTGTGAGAGAACATACACTGAGCTAGTCAAATTCATTTACAAAATAAACCCTAGGCAGTTATAAACGACCCTATGGATAAAAAAATTTGTGCAACTCTGTATTCATTTATACATCATTAAAATGTATTTTTTTAATATCAGCAAAAGTATCTGAATTTTATCTGGTATCAACTTATTAAAAACTCAATCTGTGAGAGGAAAAACTGTTAAATAAAAAATATCACTTCATGAGATAAGAAGGAACATGCAGATAGGAGGGGGGGAGAGCATTGCCCATCACTGTGCTGCTTCTCCTTTCGCTGCCCAGTCTCAGGCTGAGGGGTGGAGTGTGTCCAGGATGACCTGGGCTCAGAAGATGTGCCAAAAAGGAAGACTGTGGGGAGCAGCTCTGGATTGGAGGTGAATATTGCAGCAAAAGTTGATATTTTATCTTTTAATGGGCTATACATTTTGATCTATGTCCCTTTCATCAGGGCAATGTTGACCTAAATCCTTTAAGTGAGAGCACAGGCACCTTTTCAGATGGCTAAGTGTGAGGATTCAGTCAGACAAAATGAGCCTCAAGGCAGGCTGCTACGGCTCTTTAGCTGACCCATAATGATCCTGTCATATTCTAAAGCAGAACCTGAGCAAGCCATCTGTCAGGTTTTTACAGCTATCTGGGACTCCTCTGGAAAGCATCCCCTAAGCCCTCATTCACCCAGGAGAGTAGCTTTTTCAGAGGATTTTGATTTTTTTTTTTGCATTTTCAAACTTCATTTTTTTTTTTTTTCCGTGCAAATGGTCATTTTGAAGCCTTTTGCACATATTTTCAAACTTCATTTTTTTTGGCCTATGGAAAGAAGTATCATCTGTGACATAATTTGTTGTTGTGTCTGCTTCCTGTTTTTTCTGGGTGGTCTTGCTGCATCTGGTGCTATCAGAGATCTTGAGCCATGACCATTATGACAATTTCCCATGCCTCTGCTCTTTTCACAGTCCTAGTAATGGGATCATTGGGGTTGCAAAGGTTTTTGTGGCCCCTCCTGAAATCCCCATTTTGTTCACAGGTCTGGGGTGCTAGGAGAAGGAGTTCAGGTGTCAAATGTTTGTGATGTGCATTTTCAGGCACAGCAAATGAGTATGTGGGTGCTAAAAATGTACAATTTTGCTAAAAGAAAAGTTCATGCACTTTTTCACACAAGTGGCTGCACAATGCTCACATGTGAACTAGCAACATTGAGGGCCAATTCACAATGACTTGCGCTAAAATGTATAGAAAATGGATGTACATTTCCATCCATTTTAGTCGCGTGCTGATATCAGTTTACATACATTTTGATGTCCATTGACATGCATATTAGCGCGTGTAAAAGCGTACTGCATTTTCACAGGATATCCTCTGCATTTCGTTGACATCCGCTATGTTACACTGAAATGCATACATGTTGCATTTTAGCACAATACAGATCAACACAGTGTTTTGGTGTGAATAGGGCACATTGGAAATTATTGTTTTTCAGATGTCCTTCCATTGATGTGTGTTTTACAGCTGTGCTAAATCTGGTGTGAAATGGCCCTGAATATAATGGGAATCTTTATGCTGAGCGTTGTCATGCTTCAGGAAATGCATGACAAATGGGGCTTACTGTCTGTCCTGCTGACAACAGTTTCACCAGACATGAAGTGATGTAAATCTGCAACAGGGGCACAAGCAAGGAAAAAACCTGGCAGGGGTTCTAGCCTCCACCTACTATACTAAAGAAAAGTGTTTTTTTTCTGTCTGTGTTGCTGTTTGGTATTTCCCTCACTTCCTATATGGCAAAAAATTGACAGCAGGAAATCATGGGAAATCTCCCTGTACAGAGCCCTGGATTGCTGTAAATACTATCCAACAAGAAAAAAAAAAAAAAGACAGTTGTGGTTTGACATGCACTTTAATATCTTGATTGTCAAACAAAGGAATCTTCCACTGTTTTAGCCTACCTTGCCGTGTCGCAGCCAGTAATGGGTAGACAAGCTGATCCTTGAAGAGACGTGATAATCTCTGCAGGTCCCTGTACACCGAGCTCACATTATTATCTTTAATAAACAGAAGACACATTAACAGAACATTAGAGAGATCGCACAAGATTCAGCGTTAGTAATGCTATTGTAGGATTCTGCCTTCAGTTCTAAACGCTGTCCACACAGGAAACAAAAAGCAATTCTATATGGTACATGGTGCTTTGGCAAACTAGAGACCAATTAGGAACTGCTTTTAAAGAAATCCAGCAAATGAAATTTATATATAACCTGACATTACGTACTTTCTTTAAAATGTTAGTTTACTGGATACCATGCTGATTTTCTGGATTCGCTACTTTCTGAATCACTGACCTCAGAAAAGCATGCAGAGCAGCGTGGAAAGAAAAGTTCCAACTGCTAAAGCCTGGTACATATGTAAAGTTTTTCTTCGTTGAACCCAACTGGCTGAATGAAAAAAACTGACAGATCTCTGTACATGTGTAAGCGATGTTAGAGTGGTAATCTCCCCTGTTGTGCCTTTGTATTCTGACAGGGGGACTGCCCCTATTGCCAGAACACACTGATCAGTGCTTGCAGCCAGCAATGATGCTGGTTTTCCAGCATGAGCCTTTGACAAAAGCCAGTCGTTAGACCAGCTTGTATCAGAAAGACAACTGTACATACAGACCGAATGTCAGCCAGTTCCTGCTGAACCCTCCGATATTTAGCCCGTGTGTACCCAGCATAAGAACTAGATGTTCCCCCTTCCCCACCAGCTTTGCCAAACCCCAAAAGTGTATTAAAAAAAAAAAAACAAGATCCACAATAAGAATTTACTAAAACAATCCATACAATGGCAGCCAATAGCAAAATCTTGATGAGCTCCATATAGTTCTGAGTTCAAAGTTCTTCAGCTGTACAGATTGGATTAACACTGACAAATTTCTAGAGGGCATTGCCATCACTGTGTGCATCTTTGCTTTTTCCAATGATGCAAATCAACAGTTGTGACTTCACTTACTAAATACTTATTCTGGTCCAGGAACTCAAAAGAATACTTAAGCTAGAGACTTCTTTTCGTACAGATTGTTTTCATTTTGTATGTGTTGTTTGCTGGGAATTTTTCTCACAGCTACAGAAGCCTGCAAGCATTCATATATGTGCTAGTTCACACTGATGCAAATTCTATGCAGATCAGATGCAATCCGAAAAGCATAGATTCGCATGTAATCTACAAAAGCATTATATCCAATGCAGGCTGTTCAGATATATGCGGTGCAAATTTGATGCGGTCCAAAAAAGTGTCCTGTGTGAGTTTAGTGTGGGTGTGGTGCGTATTTCATCTCCTGCTATGCCCAGTCCCCTCAGAAATCACATTCAATTTGCACTTGTTACAGAAGAAAACACACTGTGATACCGTATTGTGAAGCCGCATCAGATTCTCACAGCATCAGTGTGAACTGGCACTAATTCACAATACGTTACAATTTGACTTTTCAATCTCTTTACATTTATTAAAACTATATAATATAAGCACCTACCTAAATAATCCATTCATCCTGTATCCAATCAGGCTGGCCCTTGCACTACATAGTTCTTGGTAGATCTAAAGATGACCATACAGCTAGACTGAAGTGTGTGTAGTGAGCTTTAGAAACACTGACCTGTAATTACCACAAGCATAATCTGAGCATTTCCCTCTGAGCACTGCAGTGCAGGTTATTAAACCAACTGAGAAAAAGTTAGTCACACTAACTGGGACTCTTCTATGTCATTAACTTTAAGTACTTTTGTTGAGCTAATTATGCATTTTAATTCCAGTGGACACATTCACTTATACGCAGTATGATGAAGCCCATCAAAGCTACATGAGTGTTTCTCAAAAACTTTACACTGATGTAATGACATTCTGTGCATGCACACATGCAAGATAGAGAGCCTGCAGTGTAAGAGTAGACATGTTCCGAATTCAAAAATTTTTTTGTTATTCATAGGTCTCAATGACCAAATTAAAATAGTAACAAATCAGAAATAATGAAAGGAAATTTGGACAAAATTTGAATTAGAAATAAATTAAATAGAATAGAAAAGAATAGAACAGAATAGAAAATCAATAGAGTACAACATAAAAGAATAGAATAAAAATAGAATAGAAAAATACAATAGAATATAATTCAACAGAATAAAATAGAAAGCAAATAACAGTCTAATAGAATAAATTTGAATTCAAATAGATTAGAATTAAATAGAATAGAAACAAAAGAATAAAATTCAATCAAATAAACTAGAAAGAACATAACCATCTTCCGAAATTTAAATTTTGAATACAATAAATTGAATTTCGAATGCCAATTCAAATTCGGAAGCCAGTTGAAATTTTTTGAGCTCGGTTGAATTGAGTTAAATCGAATTTGAAAACAAAAAAAAACAAATTCCGAAAATGAATGAAAGGAATTAAATTAATTTAACTAAACAAAATAACGGATCAAAACTTAACAAACTTTTTTGTTCTGTACATGTCTACGAGGATGTCTGTTTTATTTACCTCTCTTTCTACTTTATTTTGATTGACAGATGGCCAACAGAAAGTCTCTGAAACATCAGCATGCATGAACCATACAATGCACGTGCAAGTGCTCATGGGACATGTAGTCCCGCTGTAAGGGCTTTGGCTAGAGACTGTGTGCATGCTCCCTGACTGGAAACTCGGGGGAACTGCTGTGACAACAACGCGGAGTGCGGGAGATTTCTGCAAGGTAGATTAAAGGTCTGGAAGCAGTGTAGAAGAGAAAAAGTTGATCAAGAAAAACCATATTCTCAAGAGTACAGGGAATGGAAATACCTGAAATGAGATATTAATTCCTTCACCATCACCATCCCTCATTATAACTTAAACAGGGTATGTGAAAATAGGCCTTTAAAAGTGGAATGAAAGGAAGCAATATAAAATAAATCCAAAAAGTTTTAACTAACTGGATATCTCAAGCAGACACATTTTGTGAGCAAAATCTGCTTCTTCAGGACTGAATAGACATAAAGTTGTTGTCAAGTGGCATTACCTAGACCTGGTTCTCTGGGCAATGAAACATTGTAGTTAAATATACTCTCCAAGATATGAGACATACATTTTGTTAACCAGCATAGTGGTGTATATGCTGCTGTGACCATAAACTTTAAAATCTTTAAAATACAATACATTAGTTTTATGGACGCATGTCCATTGTTATTTTATCTAGTTTAATAAAACTGCTTGATATATTTTATGGTGATTCTTTTTCCTTTGATAGCATATTGAAAGTTCTATACGCCACATACACTATTAGACAAATCGTAAATGAATTTGCACTAATATACTACTATAGGTAATAAACAAGGAAAAAAACAGAACGGACGGAAAACGGATTTAAACTGACAAACGGTCTTTTTTTTGCATTGGTAGTGGGTGTAAAAGAAAAAAAAACTATTTAAAAACTGATGTAAAGTTTATCCATTTTTTTCTTTGAAACAATTTGACTGAACTGATGAAATGTATGGTCTGCAGATGTGAAAGGGGCCTTAGGTTGTAAATTCATTTTTTGAAATCCACATAGACGCAACTCACCTGGTCCAGGGAAGTTGATGAAAGAATTGGTAGGCAGCTGAAGGGTCTTCACACATTTCACTCCATGGTTCATGTTCACAGCAGCTGCAAACCGGAAGCAACGCAATATTTTTTACATGAATACACACTTTCAATTCTGCCACTCAGCAAGGCAATGCTAATCACAAGCAGTGAGATACATTATGTGACAGATTTACTACAGAGTTACACATGGAGTTAAATATTCATTCCTCATCTGCTTAGTTGTGCACCCCCAGCACTGTGACAGTGCAGTGATGATCTGGAGTTGGTGGGACAGACTCCTGATCACCGTGGCATCCAATCACAGTGATCACATATTTTGCCCATGAAGGCAAAAAGTAGCTGCAAAGGTATATCCAGTTTTACGAACATGTGCAAAAGTTGCAAAAATGAGTTTAAAAGTTAAAGTTTCTTTTACCTTCCACATGAAGGGGTTAATTATGTGTCTGCTTACAGTGGAAATCTGTCTCATCTACAGTGATAAATCGGTCGCAGACCTTTGCACATTTGTCACAGTTTGGCAACCCAGGATCACAGGAACAAGGGTGTCATATACACAGTAACTTGTCGCAGAGGCATTGTTTTGCAGAGCTATATCTGCAAAAGGGACCAGCATGATGTGATCTAGCAAGACAGACTTTTCTGAGTAAAGTTTAAGGAGATGCAGCTTGATTTGCAACTAATTGTGTTGCTAATTTGTATGATAAAAGTAACCATATATACTTCCTAAAATCAGACACCCTGCAGAATAAAATTGTTTAGTATAATATTAAATATGAAGTTGCTTCAAATAAATAACTACTACATATGTCAATCTTCAAAATTGCACACGCCCGTGAAACGGTGAAAACCTCCAGTACTCAAAAAATTGTCCACAGGCAACGCTTTAAAAGTCTTTGCAGCTTATGAAATGAAAGTTAACAGTCAATGAAAGCCGTACAATTATTACTCTTACTCTAGAGTGCACAGTGATATCTATTATGTGTGGCACAATCAACATTTGCATATGCATCTGCTGCACGAATTTGTGTTCATATGTGCATGTATGTGGGGGGGCTTTTAAACATTTTTTGGGCTGTTTTTAACTAAACGCAGAAGTCATTGGGTGGCTTCTACTAAGAAGCTCACAGTCAGGACTAAGAAAGGTAAACTGTGCTGCTATAGCTGCCATGAGTTTGTTTACATACTCATATTTAGAGCTGCACTTGTTTGCGTTGGGATTGCGTTGGGATTGTTGCCTATACCTTGAGTGCTAGCAGCTACTATATATTTATTCTCATTTAGCGCTCGCTTGCATATTTTGATCATATATAACGAGACTCACTTTGCTCATTTAGGGCAAACTGACAGAGTCTCTGGAAAGAGACTTCCCCGACCCATTTTCACTGCCCTTTGCCTTGCTGCTCCACTGCCTAATTCCTAAGCAGAAGCAGTGTTTGGGTGTGGTAAATGGTCAGTCCAGCCCCAGCACAGCATCTTGTAAGGAGATCACAAATTACCACATAGTGAGACATGCTGTGTATTTTTGATGGCTCCAACTGGAGGGATTGAGTTTAACTTTAAATGGGTGAAGGGGTGAGAGAGCAAGCAACTCTGTCATTTTGCCCTGGGTGAGAAAGGTGACAGAGCCTCTGCAACATACACCAAGCAATATTTTTATACATATACGTCACCATTGATAACAAGGAGCTTGCTCATAGGCATGCAGGCCAGAAGAGCAGAACTGTCTCCGCACAGGGGGTGAGCATAACGTAGCTTGTAGATGCCGTCACTGTGCCGCCAGCCCTCGGGCATAGATGCACCCTTTCCTTCAGCACCCTAGAGAAGAAACATAATCTGGATTAAAAAGGTTTAAAGTGCATATACAGCCAAAATGTTTTTTCTTTAGTTTTGGAAAAACTGGACAGCAATACAACTTCACAGGGGTTCTAACACTTCCCTATGTAAAGTGTTTTAAATTTTGTTTTGTTTGCATCCCCAAGAGATGTCCCATCACTTCTTGCCGTGGCTGGAAACCAACACATTTCAGGCATTCTGCAAAAAGTCCCCTGAGATGCATTGGCTTGACTTTTTACATAAAGCATAAGCTGCCTTTTTTGCATACCCTTAAGTTCTATAAAAAAGTATTTTCAATAGAAGAGCAACCACTTTGAAGTTGTGACATTCCACATTGCAAACTTTGTCCACTTCGCCTCTCACACTTGTTCATCCCCTATGGACCAGAGCAATTGTTACATTTCTGCTATGGACCTGTTTATTCGGTGATAACTTTGTCATTGCTTAAGATAAAAACAGAATAAATATATATTAAGGACAAACACAACTTTCTTTTTGTGAATATTGTCTTGCAACAATGTTTTTTTTCGCAATCCTTAAACAATTAAAGACAAATTTGTCTTTATTATATTTTACATCAATGTTAACGATACAAAACATGAGAAATAATAATAACATGGACAAATAAGTGGATAGAAAAGCATCATAGGCATGTCAATAGTCCATGCAGATGAATGAAAATGAGTCTAAACAACAGAAAAATGGAAGTGTTTCAATAACACATATTACGGAAGTATATAGAAAAGCAAAAAAAAAAAAAAAACCACAGGTTCGCGGGAAGCATTCCCAGACGAAATACATGTAACAAAGTATGGTAACTCCGTATAACCAAAAGTATAAACCCAAACAGAAAAAAAGAGAAGAAGAAAAGAGTCTACAGAGAAGAGAAAAAAGAAAAAAAAAAGAGAAGTCAGTTGTAAAGATAGTGAGGGAGAAGAAGAGAGAGGGTCGGGGGACAGATACGGTAAAAAGCGGAGTCAAGGCGGCCCCACACCAGTATCCCGCCAGAGACCCCGCCGCTTGCATTTGATACGGGCCGCGAGGTTAAACAGAGGAACATTTAATTAATGTTAAATAACTTATCAGGTTGCTTTAACTGACTTCATCTGCAGATGAAGTTCACCCTTTGATCTATAGATGAATAAACAAATACAAAATGAAACAATGGTTTGTTGATAAACACTGCTAGGCTGCTTTAGTTCTACAGCTCCAGCTGTCACAACCTTCCCTGTGTTCTGGGCAATGCCACTTCCATTAATCAGAACTGAATTGCCAAGTACTGTAACAGGGGAGGACCTGGAAGCAAGCAAGAAAGACTGGAAGTATTACACATGCCTTGTGTACAATGATGACCACTATTTTGGGCATGTCTATCACATCCAGAGTCTGCAACTGGCTAACAAATCTTCATTATCAGATTGCGTCAATTTGGGATCCAGAACTTCTGAACTACAGTAAACCAACCTGACAGACATTTGTTCTATCCAAAACTAAAATAAAGTAGATGTAAACCCTATCATTAAATTTCATATAAGCTTTAACATGGTAATACTGTTGTAAGTTGTGGAGTATTTGCATGATTGGAAGTACGTCTGCAAAATATATTTAGACTGCATATAAAGAGACAAAAGAGTCAATAACTTTGGTACAATGAAAAACAAGAGTATGGCTCACCACCACTACACCAGTCCCACTCTGGAGTTTAGGGTTTCCCATCTGCTTTGGAGGTCCCAAAGAGAAGGTTTTCACAGTTCAGCAACCATAATGCAGTCCTAAGCTCACTCATGGTTAACCTCTAAAGTCCCTGTAATCAGAGTTTGGACCATCTTCCCTCTCAAAACTTTGCAAACCTCTAAAATTCTGGGTCCCTAATGAGGATTTAGCAATCTGGGGAGTATTGGCAATAAGTCCTCTTCAACCGAACTGCCCTGGAACCCCTCATCCTGCATTAGTGAAAATTCTGGAGTACTCAAATGTCTTCAAACTGTCCCTCTTAAAGGGACCATAACCCAAACAGTGTTTCCTGGACCCATTCCTGGCATCCTGTACATCATATATAGTAAAGAGGATTCCTACAGCTAACATTTTAGGACATCTTGACCAGTTGGGCCTGTGATACGGCTAATTTCAGCAAAGCATTAGCTATGGGAATCTTTGCCACTAAAAAAAAAGTATATCTAAATTCCAAATATTCAAGACACACTTCTATGTATCGAAATTCTACAAATACCCCATAACATACAACAAATGTAATTTCAAAAATGATCTTTAATCTTATTAAATCTTCCTGATTATCTTACGATAAAGATCCTTGAACTTTCTATTAAAGGGTGACAATACCTCATCCCCATCTCCTACTTGTGTACCTTCCTTGCCACCCTGTCACTTGCTTTCAATGGAGACTACAAGTGGCCATTTCAACACTTATTACACCAGGGGTGCTCAACCTTTTGAGGAGTGAGGGCCACTCAAGTGATCTGGAAACCAGTCGCAGGCCACAATGAAATGAAATGGTTCAGAATTTAAAATTTTCTATTTTGAATAGAATAATGAGCATTTTCTTTCTGCAACCACTAAATGCTGGTGGGAGGGAGAAAATGAAAAGCCAGCTTTCAGCTGTTGCAGGGGGAAAATGGAGATGATTGGTTCCTGTATATAGCTCCCTAGCCACCCCTCCTGTCCAAGAGTAAAACAGAATGTGACAGAGAGGCTGCATGGGCCCCCAGGAGCATGAGGCAGGGTCTTAATGGCAACCACCAAAACTACACCAGTGGTTGGAGGAATGGTAAAAACACAACTCAACTATAAGAGTTTTAACTCTCCCCAAACCGCAAATGAGCCTTTACTGTCCTGAACCACCTACATGGCTGCTTTCACACTGATGCATTGTGGTTTACCAGCAGCATGGATGCAGTGCACCTGCGGCTTTCCAGCCGTTTAGCTGCGCTTTGCCATAGACTTCTATTATATCTTGCGAGTGTGGTACACTTTCTCAAAGCGCCAAAAACTCCTGCATTCAGAAGTTTTGGTGTGCTGCTTCCAGAAAGCGCACCAAACGCGTAGGATATATTAGAAGCGCGCTTCCCTGGTTTGAAGTCTAGGACCACATCAGAGGGCTCTGAGGGCCACAGGTTGAGCACCCCTGCATTACAGAGACAGACTACTGGTATTACCATCATGAAATCCACTCTTAGGCATGCCATGCAGCCACTGCTGTAGTGCATGTAGACAGGAGGTGGCTGTAGAAGACCAGAAGCACTGTACTGAGATTTAGTTTTTTTTTATTATAATTAATATTAATATTATTTTTTATGGTTTATGACAGACAGCATCATCATTAGCAAACTAAATGCCATTTAGATAGCGTTTACTTTTAAAAGTTTTGGATGGAGTCAGGCAAAGGTCTTTGTAAACAGAAACTATTAAAAGGATTCTCAAGGCAAAGCTGTTTAAAACTATTTATGTGCATAAAACCTGTTAATTCATCTTCAGTTGTTTGGCCTATAAGCTCCATATTGTCCCCAATGCTTACCTGAACGATGTAGCCCGTCTCCAACATGAGTACATGGATGACCACTATCAGAGCATCGTTAGGACTGGAGCAACCAGCGGATAGGTAGAGAGACTCCAGGGAGTGGGGTATCTTCCCATCAACAGATTCACTGATCAGCATTGGCTCTGCCAGACTGCAAGGAGGCTCTTCTTCCACTGAGGCCTCCTCCTCGGTTACTGCTCCATGATAAGAACTAGCCATGGGCTTCTAAATGTAAACATTTAAAGACAAAGACATTATTTTATTTCTATGGCACCATATGATGTAGCACAGTTTTTACAGCAATCTACTCTTTCTTCTAGTTAAAGGAAGTTCCTCTCTTTTGAAAAAATATAAAAAATGCACCCACATTAACAAAATAAAACAGTGTGAATTTATAAACGTTTTTGCACTGAAGCCTGCAGAGCATAATGGGGAGTGGTTGAGAGGTGGCAAAAGTGTGGCTCAGCTGCTTATTTTTAATGTCTCTCACACACACAATTGTAAATAAGAACTAATAGGAAGCATCTCACTGTGCTTATGTGATTATCATTATGATGCTCTCACACTACAGAAGGTGCTTTATGTCTGTCTGTATACAGCATATCTCTGTCCAGGGGAGGACTGACCATTTGGAAACTCGGACACTGCCCGAGGGCCCGGGGTCAGTAGGGGGCCCCATGAGATGCCCCTGTTACCTTTTTCATAGGCTTTTTTGAGTTTGGGCAAGGACACAGAGGCCCCATGATCCCCTATTGCCCGGGGGCCCCATGAGTTGTCAGTCCGCCCCTGTCTGTTCCTCAGAAAATAGAAATTGTGAGGTTGCCTGTACACTGGGTTCCCACTGCTGCCTGTGTCCTCGGCCACCTGTTGAATCATCTCCTGCTGCCGGGCCACAGCCTCTTCTTCAACCACCTTCAGCGGAGGAAGGGATAATCACTCCACCAGTGAAAGAATCACTCCACCAGTGACAGGCTGTGAGCAACCACGGCCGCCTGCCACTGATCAGCATTGCAAAACGTAGGGCAGCTTTAGCAGCCAGCGCCTGATTTTAAAAGAGTCCCTCTCTGCTCCTCGCCTCCTGGACCCCTCTGGTTTACTGATGTGGCCCAGGGAAAATATAATAAATGTTAAAGCAGGGCCACTGTTTTGCCCTGTCGGCGGCCCTGGCAGTGCACTCTAGGCAGCTGCTTCGTTTCTCCAGTGGTAGTGCTGGCCCTGTCTACAAGTTCCTCTGCCAAGGTGGCAGATGTGACTTTAAGTTTTTCAGTACAAAGATCCTTGTGAATGGTTGTGCTAATTTTCTCAAAAGAGAAGTTTTATATTAACACCAATAGCAGGACAACTTCAGAGAATGTTAACTGACCATTCTGGATGCAAACGTTCCAACCTCTGCAGATTTGAAATTCAGAGTAAAGCCAAAACTCTTTATTTGCATACAGGCTCCTGTTTCTGTTTTTTTTTCCTATTTTTGTTTTCTTGGTGTTATGTCTTTCACTTGGATGTTAGAAGTTGCACTAAATAAATATAGCTGGATAAAACAAAAACTGTGTCTGTCTTCAATTCAGACTGCAAAGCAATGAAATGCGATTATTTTAAAGAAGGGGGAGGGGTGATTTTTTTCTATACCCACTGTATACAGTATAATTTAATGTCTCACAGTATCTGTTCAAAAGCCAACACATTTTGAGGATTGTGAAGGCCCCCTGAATAGGGTGCTAAACCAATACCTGAAAAAGGCTTTATTCTCCTTCACAAGAGGACTGTAGACTTGAGATACCTCCCTCCTGTTACCCGGGTTTTTCTATACCCAACATTTAAAGCCCTGAAAAAGGCCCTCAGAACCCCTGAATTGAGTTGGGTTTTTAACAGCTAATGTGAACAATAGTTTATCTTTGGATTCCTGTCTATTGCTCTCCATCCAACACAGTATTTCTTAAAGCGGTATTAAACTCAAAAACAAACATTAATTAAATTACAGCTGTAAAGCAGTGTTTAGGGTGTAACGTAACATGCTCCATGTTCCAAAGCACCTCTTCCTACCCCCAGAGCCTCCGCTTTCTCTCGTGACAGCGCTCAGGGGGTTCTTCTCCCCTGAAGCCGCTGTCACATTTAAAATCGATGGAGCCCCGCACGGACATCATTTATTCCGAGATCAATGGTCAGCTTTTTTCCCTTTATGAAAAACATTTATCCCAAAGAAAAAAAAAAAACAGTTTGCTGTAACTGCTTAACAGTGTTAGCTGGAGTTCAGCTTCAGTTTGCTAGTCAAGTATATCCAAATCTGGATGGCCGAATTTCAATCCATCGGTGGCTGTTCCTATTCAAAAGGAGTTTTTTTAATTATTATTAGTCAGTTGTTATGGACTCCTCTCAAATGGGAATGCTGGTAAATTGTTCATTCGATCAGCACCTATAGCCAATGAAATCCATTCAGTTTTTTTGATCAGCCCGCTGGCAGATCAAAAACACAGAGGCGTCAGCTTGACACTACCCTTCCCCTAGACTGAAAATGTAAAAAGGTATCTGCTTTACTGTTTCATCCAAAATACAGAAGCCCTAATGCTTAGTACACACTATGAGAAAATAAGATGAATGATCATCTGATTTTCCACTACGGGGCGTATTATGATGTAAGCGACAGTTGTATTAACGTCTACGAAAATTCTCGGCATACAAAAGGCAAACATCGGAAAATGTAGTTACATACTAGCATAGTAGAGGAAGTGTGGGGTCATTCTTTGCTCCTGATCATACGTTGTTTTTTCTATTTGTTGATTTCTGTATGATTACTGTACACACTGAATGCCATTTGGACACTGTGTTCATGTAGGATAAAATTTTTCTAGCTTACACTTTCGTTTTTTTTTTTCACCCGAACAGTCGGAATCAGGTGTCAAAAGCACTATACTAACAAACAGATAATCGACCGATCGGAAACTTTTGCATGATTTTCGTAAGGTGTGTACGGGCTATAAGACAGGAAGTGTGATACTGGCTGGATCACCAGGTGAAATGAAGGGAAAAAAAAAGCATAAAAAAAGGAAACTAATACAGCCACCACATCTAAGGATTGGTAAATTGCAATATAAAAAAATTTGGTTTTTGAGTTTACGGTATTTAATATGTTGACCCAACAGCCAAGTAAGAACCCCATGCATACTCAAGAGATGTCCACTGAGAACAAAAAAGAAAACAAAAAGAGCTATGACTAAGCCGTAGTGGAATGTGAAAAGCGTTAGCTGGAGTCCTGTATCAAAGTCATATTTGTGGAATATGCTATAAGAAGAAATAAAGGAGATTTTACTGGAAGTGCGGCCATCGGATGTTTGTTTGTATATTGGTGTCCCCTGAGAACCTTTAATTCAAAATCTCACTGGGAAATCTAATTACACTAGGGAAACTCATTGCTCCAAAACCTGATTGTTCCTAAGCCCTGGTTCATATGCGGCCATGCGGGCCGCATTTTGCACGGGCACGAGAGCCCATTCATTTGAATGGACTCCCGTGCTCCGTGACAAGCAAATAAGAAGTCCCTGCACTCCTTCCGAAAACGCAGCCCGCACGGGAACCTCGGTTCCCAGTACAGTTGCTTTTTCCAGTGCAGGCAGTGTGCCATTAGAACTAATGGCACCCGCCCATGGGTCCGCATTTCTCTGTGTGGGTGGTGCGGCTGCGCGGATTTTCGTGCGGACCCGCAGCGGCACCACTCGCATAGATGTGAACCTAGCCTAAAAGTGAATAAAAAAAGTACTGAAACCACTGGACAAAGATGACTACCATGAAATCAATGTTTTGGGCCCTTTCACACCTTTGTCTGCATTTTGTGACAGTTGCCCCATGTTGCATTAGAGCAACTCATTCCTTTTAAAGAGGCTCAATGCACAAAAAAATGTGCATGTACTATTATTTCTCAGTGCAGCACACTGCAATGCAAAGGATATTGCACTTATCTGTGTACTGAAGGGCAGGTGCATTTCTTGACATTGTGATGTATGATGGAAAGAAGGGAATCAGAAGATATTCCTTTATGAACAGTCCATCATTGGCAACCCCCGTATTCTGTCAGTACAAGTGCATCAGGCCATGCCACCCACCTCTGGTAAGCTCTGTGTTACTGGTGTCCAATCATGCCTCTGGTCACTGTGACTTGTGTTTGGTTGGACATTTTCAACATTAGAGATAGCGGGTTGGCGCTGATCCAGGGCAGGCGGAGTGCTTGGTGATGGAATTGCTGAAACAAGCTCTGAGTCCGGCACTCGGAGAACTATCAGATCTCCAGATATGATTCCACATGATTCCAGAGTATTCTGGTACTCAGTCAGGGTGTCCTTGCCATTCAGAGTGATGGTGAAAACTGCATCTGAACTGTGAAAACACAAGACTTTCAACATTTCAGCATGAACTACAATTTTCCAGCATATAAAAGAGAAAAATTATGAGAACGATTACAGCTACTGCATGCACTTTATTTAGATAACAATCTTAAAAGGTAACTCTGCTGTCATGGAGAAAAAATACAGCTAATAAAAAAATATATAGCATTTCAATTGCTACAGAAGTCATATTGTAATTTAACGATAATAAAAATTACCTTTCTTTTTCAATCTAAAGCCGCTGTAGTTCTCCATAAAATTCAACGCAATATGGCAACCTTAGGCACCCCTAGAGACGACATTTCCCACTTGAGTGATTGAAATTCCTATTACAGGGAGTGCCTAAAATTTTACTATAGTGCAGATTTCTGGGTAATCAGTGTGCCAGTTTTGGTGAGACACTCCCCAAAGGGTTAAATATTTCTAAAGGGATGCAGACCCTGCAGCTTCTCTCATTAGAGCACTCAGAGTGCACCAGCTGATTATAATGAATCAGAATCTTCCTTCAGAATTAGCCTGCAAATATAGTATAGCATAGTGAAACAAACAGCTATTCCTTCACAGCAACTAAAGGTAGGTATCTGCTGCAAAGTTTGTTAAATCCCTGCAATGTACATAGATCACCCAGAGGAAGTTGTTTTTTTGATCAACAAAAGTGAAGTCGCCCTTTAATTTAAAGCTGAACTCCAGAAAAGCAAATGTAGTGTAAAAACAAGATGCATGTGTATTATTCCTTGAATTTTGGTGTGCTTTGTGTATTTCTTCCAGATCTCTGTAGTAATTCAGTGTTAAACTTTGCCTCTGTGCAGGAGTTTCCTGTAATAAAGACCGGTCATTGCTGCGCTCTCTCTGTGCAGGGTGACTGGTCTTGTTTCCACCCTCTCCTGCTTAGCCCCTCCCACAGCTTTGCGTTCTGCTCTGGCTATGTACAGCACAGTGATGGTGTCACTGCTACTTTGCATGGTAATATATGGATTTTCAAAGACATTTGGTGCACACAAAGTAAATTTATAACCTTTGTGGCTATATTTAAATTAGGATCTTTATCTAACTAAAATGTGTACATAAGAACCATGTTCTAATTTTAAAAAAAAACACACAGTAAAATTATTTTATACTACTGCTAGTAAAACTACCTGTATTCTACCATTATATTATCTTGCCACTAGACTCTGAACAGCAGACTTATAGTAAGGACAAGAAGTGCTGATATGGGCAGTGACATGCACTAAACATATTTTTCGAAGTGTATGGAAGGGTCTGACAGTGTTTATATTGTTGTCTGTGCTTTCCTGACACAGTCACAACCATTTCCCCCCTCCCCTACATCTTAGGGCTCATGTACACTGCAGCTCACAAACTCACGTTTAGTAGCTGTTCAGCGTTTTTTTCAGCAGCCCTGAACTCACCATAATGTTTTCCTATGTGTCCATGTACACATCTTCGTTTACAGTCATTTAAAAGGCATTTGAGTTAGCAGTCGATTTTATCAGCATTTCAAATGCAAAACGCTTGTAAATGCGGCAAATCACGTTTATAAGCGTTTGCATTTGAAATTTTTTTTTTTTAACTCTTCCAGTTCCCGATGCTGTCCAAGCCTTTTTTCCTCATGAAAAAATGCATGCAAAGCATTTTCAAGGTGCTCAGATGGACAAAACACTGAACACAGGATGTTCCTACCAAGCTCATCACACATTGTAATGACCAATTCACACCTCAGACCTCTCCCACCCTTGGAAACAAAAGATATGTTAATGACCATTCACACCTCAAATTCCTCATGATGACCCCTGCCAGGTGGCCTTAATGACTCTCTCCACCAGACACCTTTCCCACCCTTGGAAACAAAAGACATGTTAATAAGCAACTCACACCTCAGCTATTTTCAACACCTACTGCTGTCTCTGCTTCTACTCTCTGTATTTCTCTGAAACAGTCTGAAATAGTCAATAATTTATGACTTTTGTATTTTGGGCATTTGGGAGATTCTCCTGTGCTGATCTTTAAAAAACGCTTCTAAATGCAAACACACATAAACATGTTATGCAAACACGGCTAAACAGAATTTTTTAACCTACGTTTTCCAGCAGTCAGTTTCCATCTTTCAGAAGTGTCCTGTGTACATACAGATGTTACAGGGACAGAAAGTAAGAAAAAGTCTTCCTGGTGAGGTTACAAACAGAAATGTTATTTTTACTCCATCTATTAATTTTTTATTTGGTTGGAGTTGAGCTTTAAAATGGAACCGAGCACTAAAAGTTAGGATTTTGTATGTTATAAGTAACATCTAAAAACCTATGTTACTTGAGCCGAAGCACTGCCCTAAAAAAACGGGATTTTTTTTGTCTGCAATTCCTCCTGAAAAAACAGTGCACTTCCTTGTATGCTTGGTGCCTAGGCATTCCCGTATCTACATCATCATAACTGTATATCTGCAGTGTGAGATATAAGGCACTGCTGCCTCAGCTATTGTCAGGAGATTAGGAGTAACATTTGGTGATGTCACTAATGTGCTGCTCAAGGTACTCCTTGCTGGAGGCTCTGACTTGAGATAGGAAAACTGCTGCTACTAAAATGGCAACTTTCACACAGTGACACAGTGCAGAATAAGGCATTGTAAGTCAGCAATGGGGAAAAGATCAGCTCCTGTTATAACACAGGCAAGTTCTGAAAGTTTCCTTTGCCTTCTGCCTGCTTTTTTGGGCACAAATTCTAGAGTTCACTTCCACTTTAAAACCAACCTTTGACCTCACTGCCATGGCCTTCTTCATTTAAGATGCACAAAAACACTGCATAAGAGTACCCGTGGGGGTTAAATAGGTAAATAATTTACTTATCCCCCACCATATTCTGTAATGCAAGGAATTACATCATCCTCCAGCTGACAAGATCCCTGGAATGCTGAGTAGCCCAAATCTCACGAGAAGGCGCTGCAGCACAGTGCAGGATCATCTCTTCACAAGATCTGGGCTGCTTTTTTTAAGATTTGGATTGAAGCAGGATGATGTCACCCTTGCCTAGGCACAGTGGGAGGAAGTCATTTATTTATTTACTTATTTCAGGTACTTGTATAGTGCCGTCAATTTACGCAGCGCTTTACATATATATTGTACATTCACATCAGTCCCTAACCCTCAAGGGGTGTACAATCTAAGGTCCATAACTCACATTCATACATACATATATTAGGGCCAATTTAGACAGGATCCAATTAACCTACCAGCATGTCTTTGGTGTAGGAGGAAACTGGAGTACCTGGAGGAAACCCACGCAGGCACAGGGAGAACATGCAAACTCCAGGCAGGTGGTGCCATGCTTGGGATTCAAATCAATGACCCTAGTACTGACAGGTGGGAGTGCTAACCATTTAGCCACTGTGCTGCCCTAAGTCATGGAAAGTTAAGTATATACCGATCAGCCATAACTTTATGATCACTGACAGGTTAACTGAATAACATGCTTATCTTGTTACAATGGCATGTGAAAGTCAGCGGAATATATGAGGCAGCAAGTAAACATGCTGTCCCTGAAGTTGATGTGTTGAAAGCAGAAAAAAAATGGGCATCACAGTTTTTGTTGTGTGTGGGGCTGTGTAACTACAGAATGGTCAGGGTACCCAAGGTGACCTGTGTTCAAAGCCAAAAGAACCTAAAATGGGCATGTGAACATCAGAATGGGACCGCAAAGCAATGGAAGAAGGTGGCCTGGTCTGATGAATCACGTTTTCTTTTAAATCCTGTGGATGGCTGCATGTGTGTTTATCACTTACCTAGGGAAGAGATGGCACCAGGATGCAAGCCGGTGGAGGCAATGTTCAGCTGGGAAACCTTGGGTACTGCCATTCACGTGGATGTTACTTGACCTGTACCAAATACTTAAGCATTGTTGCTGGCCAAGTACACTCCTTAATAGAAACAGTGTTCCCTGATGGCAGTAGCTTCTTTCAGCAGGATAATGTGCTCTGCCACACTGTAAAATTGGTTCAAGAATGCTTTCAGGAACACAAATTTGAGGTGTTAACTTGGCTTCCAAATTCTTGAGATCTCAATCCAATCGAGAATCTGTGGGATCTGCTGGGAAACAAAACCAACCTATGAAGGCCCCACCTCGCAACTTACAGGACTTAAATGATCTGCTACTGACGACTTGATGCCAGACACCACAGCATACCTTCAGAGGTCTAGAGGTCTCCATGCCTCGATGGGTTGGGGCTGTTTTGGCAGCAAAAGGGGGACCTACTCAATTTTTGGTGTGTAGTCTTTAAGTTATGGCTGATTAGTGTATTATCTATTTTCCCTGCACAGGTACATAGATGCACCTTGCTGTTGAGGTGGAAGCTGATCATGTTCACTTACAGTATATCACTAAAAAAAACAAAACAACTTTATAGGACAACAGATTCCATTTAATAATGAGGTATTTAAAAAAAAAAAAAATGCTTGCACACCTGTACCCCAATGAAGGTAGGAAAGATACAGACAGCTTCCTACGGAGATCTCCCAACGTCGGCTTCTCCTCTTCCAGCTCCAGTCGCCCTGTCTGTCCTCCGACTCTCACCCGAAGCCTCATTCTGCCTTCCGGGGTGGTCCTATCAAATAATGTCCATCAGTAATAAATCACATATGTCCTATATTTCTTTTTTTTTGCAAGGTCATCGGGCCTCTCTAAAGCAGCAGTCTCTGGTTCCCCACACACTATCTTCTAGAATACTTTCATTTTCACTGGACAGAAGAAACTTTCACTTTCATATCAGCATCAGATTTCACAACACATACAATATCTCATTTCAGCAAGCCAAGAGAACCCAAGACTAAGAGAAAGTGATTGTAAACCAAAAGTTTTATTTTTTTTAAATAAAAAACATGTTATACTTACTTGCTCTGTGTAGTGGCTTTGCACAAAGCAGCCCCGATCCTCCTCTTCTCAGGTCCCCCGCTGGCGCTCCTGGCTCCTCTCCCTGCCAAGTGCCCCTATAGCAAGCCACTGTGTCCAGAAGACACACAGAGCGTGGCTTGGCCCTGCCCCCTGCTCCCTCCTCACTGATTGTAATTGACAGCAGTTGGCTCCTGCTGCTGTCTCTGAGCCTATGAGGAGGGAGAGAGCTGAGAGTGCTGCCGCTTTCATGCAAATCGCTGGATCGAGATAGGGTTCGGATATAAGGGGGGGGGGGGAGCTGCACTCAGATTTTTTTTTTACCTTAATGATGAGAATGGATTAAGTCCCATAAGGCATTGCGAGACTGACAGTTACAATCATCTCTCCCAAATGCAGAGGCATGATGGGACTTGTAGTTCTAACTAGAGGGCCACAGGTTGAGCATCCATGGATTAAAAGTAGGGCTTTTTCTTTACCAAGGTGGGTGCAGCTTTGTTCCAATGTTGCATCTGTCCCCCGCCAGCATGACTGCTGATCGCTGAGTTCTCACAGCCGCTCTGAGCAGAAAGCGGTGACTGTCAGTCGCCGCTGTCTGCTCTGCCGCCCCCCCCCAGCGCTCACTGGAGTTCTGGGCTGTGGAGGGAGCAGCTGGCCAGGACACGGTGATCGACAGGTGAAGCCGCCAATGGCGGTGCTGGTAGGGCACACGCACGCCCCTCAGCTGTAGGACATCTGGGGATCGCAGGACAAGGTAAGGATCGAGGGATCGCAGGACAAGGTAAGGATCGAGGGATCGCAGGACAAGGTAAGGATCGAGGGATCGCAGGACAAGGTAAGGATCGAGGGATCGCAGGACGAGCACTGCAGTGTAATCCCGAGTGTGGCTCGGGGTTTCCGCTTTTGGTACTGTAAAGTAACCCTGAGCCACACTCGGGATTTCCGCCAGGGAGGTTAATGCAAGCAGTGTAAGTTCCTGAATGTAACCTGGCATCAGGCTCTTGCAGTTCATGTACAGCAGAGCTCTGGCTGGGAGAGGGAGAAGCAGCACGACAAGAACCATGCTGATAGGAGGTGAGAGCAGTGACAGAAAGAGGAGCTCATCACTGTGCTGCTTCCCCTTAACTGTCCAATCGCAGACTAGGGGAGGGACAAGACCTGTAGGTTTTACTCAGCTGCAACAGAGAAAAATCAAATGTCCTGCCCTGCTGGACTAGGCAGTGCTGTGTAATTCTCAGAAATAGATGGACAGAAATATAAAACGTGTGGCAGGTAAAACAGCTCCCCTATAAGTATTTCATCTGTTTGCTTACTTCCAAAGTACCAAATGGTATAGGCTTGCCACCTCACCCTTTTAAACACAAACACATATGAATTACACAGGTTCTGACGCTAATTTAATGCAGAAAAGGCATCAAGTGACTTTAATTACCACCTTAGTCAGCCCCAGAACCTGTGTAGTTCATATGTGTTCAGGTTTAAATGGGTGGGGTGGCAAGCCTAAAGTGGTAGGACTTGAAAAGTGCAAGCTCTTTGGCCCAGCCTCTGTCCACTCACCATAAACACAAACAGGAAACAGAAGCAGTGAAAAAGAAGGCTCTCCTCACCAACCAATCAGGTGCCAGATTCCACCCAGCAACAAATTGAGATTGCTATAGGCAACGCCTCCACATACATACACCCCCAGTCTCCTGGCATGCCAGTGTCCCCCAGCAGGGGGAAGCAGAGAGCCCCCTCTCCTCCTTTCTCTCTCTCTTTCTATATACCTGCACACAGGACCCTCTGCAGACTCCACGGACCGCGGCTCTACTCTCTATCACGTGACCGGTCCTCAGCTGACAGTCTTCGCCATATTGCTCTGGGGCGGAAGTAGCCCTCTGCGCCATGCACTTTTCCACAATGCTGCGCTGAGCGGAAGTGACCTTCTAGTTCCGGCACCGGCTGGCAGTGTGTGTGCTGAGAGAGAGCTGTCACCATGAGCCGTAGCTACAATGACGAGTTACAGTTTCTGGACAAGATCCACAAGAACTGCTGGAGAATCCGCAAGGGATTCGTCCCCAACATGCAGGTCCATAACATATCATGTTTATTGGTTGGATGAAGCACCACAGGCCTCTCCATACTCTGCCTAGCAGATGTGGTACTACAATGGCTGGGCAGAGAAGGGGGAGGGGGAACCTTATGTATGGATCACATATCTCCGAGCGGGAGGAATGTCCCCCATAAAGTATAACTAAAGGCTAAACTTTTTTTTTGTGATTTGTTTTATTTATTTATTTTTTAAAGTTTTGGATAAAGTGGAGAGAGATTAGAATACCTGTCAGGTTTGTATTGCTGTTTGTTCCCCTGTTGGGGAAATTCGACTTGTTGAACCGTTATCTTCAAAAGTGAAGGCAAAAGAAAATCCGACATTTTGGGATTTTGTTCTCACCAGAATAGGAAGAGAGGGGAAATATTCCAATGGAGACACTAGATCTGGTGCCACCAAGGGATTCCCTCATTTTGGAAGGATTTCCTCTCACTTCCTGTTTGGTTATGGGACAGGACGTGAAGGGAAATCTCCCCAATGAGCCACAGATGGCAAAAAAAAAATAATAATAGGGGTTATAACCCTCCCTTACTCTATCCAAAATGAAACAAAAAATATGCCTTTAGTTCTACTTTATTGATTACAGGTAATCATATATGCTGTACAGATCACATATCCAAGAGGGGGTGGGGTGTCCCCCATGATGTACAGATCACATATCTAAGAGGGGGTGGGGTGTCCCCCCATAATGTACAGATCTCGCAGGGGGTGGGGTGTCCCCCACGATGTACAGATCACATATCTCACAGGGCGTGGGGTGTCCCCCATGATGCACACATCACATATCTCACAGGGCGTGGGGTGTCCCCCATGATGCACACATCACATATATCACAGGGCGTGGGGTGTCCCCCATGATGCACACATCACATATATCACAGGGCGTGGGGTGTCCCCCATGATGCATATATCACAGGGGCGTGGGGTGTCCCCCATGATGCACACATCACATATATCACAGGGCGTGGGGTGTCCCCCATGATGCACACATCACATATATCACAGGGCGTGGGGTGTCCCCCATGATGCACACATCACATATATCACAGGGCGTGGGGTGTCCCCCATGATGCACAGTTCACATATCTCACAGGGCGTGGGGTGTCCCCCATGATGTACAGTTCACATATCTCACAGGGGTGGGGTGTCCCCCATGGTGCACATCACATATCTCACAGGGGGTTGGGGTGTCCCCCATGATGTACAGTTTACATATCTCACAGGGCGTGGGGTGTCCCCCATGATGTACAGTTCACATATCTCAAAGAGGGTGGGGTGTCCCCCATGATGTACACATCACATATCTCACAGGGGGGTGGGGTGTCCCCAATGATGTACAGATCACATATCTCACAGGGGGGTGGGGTGTCCCCAATGATGTACAGATCACATATCTCACAGGGGGTGGGGTGTCCCCCATGATGTACAGATCACATATCTCACAGGGGGGTGGGGTGTCCCCCATGATGTACAGATCACATATCTCACAGGGGGGTGGGGTGTCCCCCATGATGTACAGATCACATATCTCACAGGGGGGTGGGGTGTCCCCCATGATGTACAGATCACATATCTCACAGGGGGGTGGGGTGTCCCCCATGATGTACAGATCACATATCTCACAGGGGGGTGGGGTGTCCCCCATGATGTACAGATCACATATCTCACAGGGGGGTGGGGTGTCCCCCATGATGTACAGATCACATATCTCACAGGGGGGTGGGGTGTCCCCCATGATGTACAGATCACATATCTCACAGGGGGGTGGGGTGTCCCCATGATGTACAGATCACATATCTCACAGGGCGTGGGGGTGTCCCCCCATGATGTACAGTTCACATATCTCACAGGGGGTGGGGTGTCCCCCATGATGTACAGTTCACATATCTCAGAGCTGCTATATGTAAAGTGGACCCATCACTATTACTGTTCAGAGAGACGTGTCATGTTCTCCTCATGGTCCACCCCACAGGACTGATAGCCTTGTGCTCCCCTGCTGCCCCTCTATGCCCGCCGGTGCCCCTTCTTGGGAATCCTCTGGAGGCTCCATGTCAGTCTGCATTATGGCTAAGTAGTTCCACCATCCTTATGCTTTGCTATTAGCCACTCACAGTTGCATTGTGGGAGGAATGTTTCACCATACCCAGGTGCACGGGGTATTTTCATGGGTCCCAGGGAGCAGCAGAATGTGGAGCAGAAGTGAAAGGTGGTCTTGTTAGCTCCCATACCCCTTGCTGGTAGTCCCGCCAACCTGTTCACCTGCTAGGTTTGTGTCAGAGCTTACCACTGGCTAAGGGGCTCTGCCCCATGTGACAGCACTTGGCCCTGGCCATTGGCCAGTCAGGCACAAAGCATTGTATTGTAGGGGGAAAGGGAGGAGGTCATGTGATCCATCATACCTTGGAGTACAGAGTATTTTCAGGGTTCTGGTAAGAAGGGTGGTAATGAACTAGTGCGAAGTGGTAGGTTCCATTGTTAGCCCACATACCCTTTTCTGATACTTCCCAGCCATTCCATCCTGTTCAACAGCCAGGTCTGTACCAGAGCTTACCACGGGCTAAGGAGCTTTATTTTACCAGTGCAAAATTCAGAGTCATATCCCATGTCAATCTCATCCAGTGATTTCTTGTTTGCCTATCGCCTGCTCTTACATAGTATGTCTTCTTTGTGCATTCAGGTGGAGGGTGTATTCTATGTAAACGATCCTCTGGAGAAGTTGATGTTTGAGGAACTGAGAAATGCCTGTCGAGGTGGAGGTAGGTCTGGCGTTTGAAATGTAAATCCAGAGCCGACATATTAGTATCCTGTTTGCTGATAATGACTTGCTTTGCAGAATTTATCGGAGTGGAGCACAATTTGTTTGCCTGCTGTTCACTGGTTCCCACAGATAACAATTGGTTTTTCTTTTTCTTTTCTGTACTGTAATGTACTTTCATATCTAAAACTCAATACACAGAACTTGACAAAAAAAAATCCTGAGCTGACATAGTCATTCTCGTAGTAACCACCTCAGTCTCTATAGTGTGATTTCCTTGGCTAGGTTTGAGCTTTATTCCTTCTGCTAAGCAGAAACATTTTCTTACTAACATGGAATTAATACAGTTCCACAGGGAGAGTGTAATCGGTTCAGACACTGTACAGGCCCTAGTTATTTAAAGCTGAACTCCAGATAGAAAAACTTTTATCTAAATATATTTCTTAATAGCCACAAAGGATATACAGTGTGCAGTACATAGCCTGTGCAGAGCTAGCACCCAGCAGGTCCCACCCAATGCAGGCTGTCTGTAAAGTACTACAGGTGGGGGCGGAGACAAGACCAGTCTCCCTGCACATTGAGAGAGAGCAGCAGTGACTGGTCTTTATTACTGAATACTCCTGCACAGAGGCAAAGTTTCACAATCAATTGCTGCACAGACCTGGAAGAAATACACAAAGCATCAAGGTTCAAGGAAGAATACACAATATTTGCTTATCCTGGAGTTCAGCTTTAACTCTGCAGCATCTACCTAACTTGAAATGTTGCTTTTGGTTTGTTTCATCCTTCATTAAAACATAATTTTCTGTTATGTGAATTTCATAGCCATTTAGATCTGTTTTTTTGCTTGCTCAGGAGCTGGTGGTTTTCTCCCTGCTATGAAGCAGATTGGCAACGTGGCAGCCTTACCAGGAATTGTTCATGTAAGTATTTTTGTAGGATATTTTACTGATTGGGACTAACCCTTGCCCTGGCAGGCTACAGCACTTTAAGTGGGCCACAAAGCAACAAGGGGCTCTTGTTTAGTCACTTACTGTGATTGCCTGCCCAGTGATGACTTAATTGGAAGCCCATCCTACCAGTTCCTCATTGTTAGTAGTGGACTAGGCTCTGTTGGTGACAGCTTGGTTACAGTTCCGGGAGCGCCAGTGACGTGCACTTCAGAACAACACAGTGACACATATATGCAGCCCACCTGCCATGTTGCCGTAGATATGCGTTACATTCTCCCAAAGGGGTTAATCATTCTCAAAGTTGCAGCCAAAATATGAAACTCAAGCTTCTGATTATCCCCGAAATGTTATGGGGACAGTTGATGGAAATTTTTGCTATCTTGAAAAAACTCTTTAAAAGCCCAAATTCCTTGTCCCCTCTGAACTACCCATACGACAAAAAAAATCATACAGTATGTATGTAAAACCCTAACACTGAACTTCTCTTACTTAGTCTCTTTTGGTCTGTTTGACCACCTCCCACCCGGCCAATGTACATAATCAACAAGGTGGGAGTTTCCCCGTTTTGAGAGAACTTTCCTGTATGTCCCTCAGAACGGGTGCCTGCATGCGGCCCCGAGGTGGAGCAGCAGCACAATTCTGTGATGGCTATGTCCCTTGGACACAGCACATCACAGATCGGGATATGGGCTCTCTGATTGGCTCTCCCAATTATGTGACGGCTGTGTTCAATCACAGTCATCACTGAATGTAAACAGAAACATGCGTCTCTGTAGCTGTTTTCCCTGCTGAGCTCAGTGAGAGCTCAACCTGTAAAGGTGGGGAGAGTGTGGTATGCTGCACCCTGTGACAGCTGATCTGTGTAGCTAATGAGTTTATTATTCAGCTACACAGATCTCACACACTGCAGCCCACAGAATTTAAAGCACCCCCGTACTCTCTTGCTCCGTGCGCATTGGTCTCATACACATACGTAAACAGCTATCGCACCACACATGTGAGGTGTTGCCACAAATGTCAGAGCGAGAGCAATAATTCCAGCATCAGACCTCCACTGTAACTCTAAACTGGTAACCTGTAAATTCTTATAAAGCATCGTCAATGGAGATTTTCAAATACTGTAGTTTTGCACCATTCCATAAGCGTGCACAGTTTAAAAGTGTATTTGGTATCTATTTACTCGGTGCAACACCATATTTTATATTTTACCAAAAATATTATTATATTGTGTTTTTATGCATTAAAATTCCTTAAAGTGTATTTTTTTCCCAAAAAAATGCGTTAAAAACCGCTGGGCAAATACCGTGTGACATAAAAATTGCAAAACCCACCATTTTATTCTCTAGTGCCTCTGCTAGAAAATATATGTAAGTAAATAGTTTAGTAAGAATTACTGATTTTTACTTGTAAACAAAAAGTGTCAAAAGAAGGCCTGGTCTTCAAGTAGTTAATGCCTGAAGGAGAAACCGTCGCACATGTGGTATCGCTAGGAGGAGCAGCAGAATGTGTTTTGGTGTGTAATTGCAAGTATGCCTATGCCGTGTGTGAGAAATATCTTGTTAATATGATGTTTTCGTGAAAAAAAAAATGATTTGCTTTTCCAAAGAATTGTGGGAAAAAGTTACAACTTCAAAAAAACTCAGCATGCCTCTTACTAAATAGCTTGGAATGTCTACGTTCCTAAAAGGGGTCATTTGGGGGTATTTGTATTGTCCTGGCTTATTCCCCCTGGTTCACATATATGCGGCGGTGCAGGCCACGGTTTGCGTGGGCACGAGAGCCCATTCATTTGAATGGACTCCCGTGCCCAGTGACATGCAGGGAAGAAGTCCCTGCACTTCTGAAAACGCAGCCCACGCAGGAACCTCGGTTCCCAGTATGGTTGCGTTTTCCAGTACTGGTGGCGTGCCATCAGAACTAATGGCACCTGCCTGCGGGTCCGCATTCCTCTGTGCGCGTCACGGATTTTTGTGGGGATCCACAGCCGCACCACCTGCACATATGTGAACCTAGCCTTAGTGTCTCAAGAAATGAGAGAAGCCGTCAGTATATCAGGTGTGATCAATTTTCAATGATTGGTACCATAGTTCGTAGACTCTAAAACTTTCACATAGACCAAATAATATACACCGATTTGGGTTATATTTACCAAAGAAATGTAGCAATATAAATTATGGTTAAAATTTTAGAAGAAAAAAAAATTATTTGCTAAATTTTATAACAGAAACTAAGAAAAACATGGGTTTTTTTTTTTCAAACTTCGGTATTTTTTCATTTGTAGCACAAAAAATAAAAAACCTGGTGGTGATTAAATTGCCACCAAAAGAGAGATCAATTTGTGTGAAAAAATTATAACAATTTCATATGGGTACAGTGTTGCATGACTGAGTAATTGTAATTCAAAGTGTGAGAGCGCTGAAAATTGGCCTGGGCAGGAAGGCGGTGAAAGTGCCCAGTATTGAGGTGGTTAAATATACAATTATAGGTGTTTTGTTATATTTGTTCAAAAATGGCAAATAATTCTTGTTGATCCTACTAGAAATCTTGAGAGCTAATAACTTCCTGTATTGAGCTGGCAATTCTGCATTGAAAGCTCATTCCATGTCATCAGCCCTGCCCAGTTCTCCCCTATAAACTACTAAACACCTCCCTCCTAAGTTATGGAGACAAGGAGAGGGAGGTGTTCCATAGTCTCAACACACTTCTGTCCCAGGCTCCTCCATAGAAACAGTACAGTGAGAGAGTGTTGTCACCCTATGACAGGAAGTGTGTTACTGGCAGGATCACCAGGTGAAAATCAAATTTTATGAAGCCACCACATCTAAGGACATGTAAGTGGCAATATATTACATATTTGCTCTCAAGTTTAGATGCATTTTTTTTGTTTAATGTTATCCAGTCATGGTCCTTTTGCCTTTTCCCTAACTTCAGTAGCAGAAGGTCCTCACTGCTGTAGCAATAAAGTAAGCCCAGGCTGCATGATGATGCATCCCCAGAGAGGATGAGATCGGGGCTCACAGGGGAGAGGGTTGAATGACGCTGAACAAAATTCAACTCAGAAGAGAAACCGCACCAGAGAGAATGGGAGTATGGGGGTTTTATAATTGATTTATCTAAAGCTATACTCCTCACTGCCAGCAAGGGACCTCGGCAGACTAAGGTAAGAATACCTTGCTTCACAAGGGAATATTAAAAACTTGCAGTATGGACTGGGAGGGGTTACTATTTGCTTGGGATATGGCCTTTAATTACTTGATACACATGGATGTGGGCTTTAAATTTAAACAGTTTTCTGCATTTAAAAATATAATCCCAGTACAATACTGTACCTTCAATCTTTGTTTTCTGTTGCTTCAGAGGTCCATTGGTCTTCCCGATGTCCACTCCGGCTATGGATTTGCCATTGGAAACATGGCTGCTTTTGATATGAACAACCCAGATGCTGTTGTATCTCCAGGTTTGTATTTTTTTCTTGACGATTAGAGTTAGGGTAATTGATCTGAGATTCACTGCTGACTGGGCAGATTGTGGTGAATTGGGTATTTCAGAGGCCTCATTTACTCCTATTGACCCAATACAGGGCAAATCATATGCCAGATGAGCTATAGATATAATGGTTATCTGTACTCACAGTGATATCTATATTTATATCATTGAAGGTTGCCTGTAATCTCTGTATAAGCCTAGGATTTGATCTGCTCATGTTTTAGCCTTCATAAAAGCATACATTTGTAAAGCAATATAGCAACTGATCGTTCTGTTGAAGTAGTGGACAGGATTACTTCAGTAGTCTGATATCCCTTATCTAATGCAGGTGGTGTTGGATTTGACATTAACTGTGGAGTCCGTTTGCTACGCACCAATCTGGATGAGGGCGACGTACAACCCGTGAAGGAGCAGCTGGCCCAGTCTATGTTCGACCACATTCCCGTTGGAGTGGGATCAAAGGGCGTCATCCCTATGAGTGCCAAGTATGTAGTGACACAAATAACTCATTGAAGAAAACCAGTAGCAGGGTAAAATACTAGTGTGACAATCTGGACCTGTATTTCAGACTTCAGGGCTGCATACTAGTTCCAGTGCTTCAGCTTCAACCTAAGTGACATCAAGTCTCAGAATTAATACGCAACCAGAGATTTGTCAATGGTAGTTTTCATCTGAGGCCTCTCACACGGGCTTTTTTCTTTGTGAACGATCCTGTTTGAAGACATTTTTTCTTGCATATGCCCTCCTGCAGCCGTTGTTTTTATTTTTTCTCAGCTTTTTATCTTTTACTGATTAGTACCTGTTTTCTGTTTGTCAGGGAAACAGAAATAATGGTGTACTTGCTGGCAGAAATCCACAGGATGGTGTTCCTGAATACACAGCACATGCATATCTGTAAACAAAGGATTGTGTTCAGCCAGTTTTGTTATCAAGGCACCCCTGCCACACTATATAGGCAGCAGGGTGTGGGTGACTATTAACTATTGCAGTCCTAAGCTTTCTTTATATTGGACTAAGCTTTACCATTGGCAGCTGATGTGGCCCATCTTAATTTGTTCTCATGTAAACATTTCCTCTCCTCCAACCCTCAGTCCCCTGAACATACAATAGGACAAAAATGCTATGTTGTGCAGTGGAGACTGATATGTTCATGGTGCAGCCACACCCAGTCTAGTGTGGGATGTGTTGGAGGTATTGTGTGGAGTTAACAAAAATATAGATTTTAGGTAATTATACTAGTAGTATCTGAAAATTCATGAAACAATTTTGAGAATAAATATTTTTCTAGCTGGGCTAAAGGGTGGATTTGGTTACAGTGCTGTTTTAAGAGAAGAACGCCAAGAATTACGTATGTCAATGTTAGATTGCACTGTTGGCCAGTTTGGATTAAACAGATTATGCATATACCACATTAGTATGACCGCTGGGACATCACAGTACACGATAGTAGCATTCATTACACTCCACAGAAACCGCCCTTCCAAAACTCACGAACGACTTACTAACTGGCAAAACTAATGGCCACTGCTCCAAACTTGTACTCTTAGACCCTTCTTATACACTTCTAAAAAAAAAAACTCCACTTCCCTCGGCTTCCCAGATTCTGCTCTTTCCTGGTTCTCTTTCTACCTATCTCAGCACACCTTCAGTGTGACCTACAGTTCTGTATCCTTCTTTACTCTTTCTCTTTCCATAGGGTTCCCCTAAGGCTGTCTCCCCTTCTCATCTCCTCATGCATACCTAAACTACTGATTGACATATCTATATGGATGTCACACCACTCCCTCAAACTCAATCTCTGCAAGGTTGAGTTTATAATACTGTAAATTCTGTATGGCTATCTTCTACTCTTTCAGGCTATCCTTGAAAGCACATCTCTTTAGGGAAGCCAATCTCACCTCTTCCTAACAACTGGAATTTAACTTTCTCCATCAACTCATCCCTCCACAATCATTACCTTTCCGTATCATCGCCTCTCCTTTTAGATTGTAAGCTCACATGATTAGGGCCCTCTGAGCCCTTTTGCATTGGATTATATTATAACTGTCATGTCTCCCTTAATTTTGATGACAAAAAACAAAACTGCGCAAACTGTTGGTGCTATATAAATCCTGTATAGTAGTAATAATCTGCTTAAAGTGATACTAAAGTCTCCATTTTTAGGTAGTTTTATACTGCTCAGATGTAGACTTGCACTGTATTCGTGTTCTTCATTTGTGTCCTTTTCCTCTGATTCACCTGGTCCCCTCAGCACTTGTCCTGCTTCCTGGAGCCACAATCTTTATGAAATAGGTAGGCAACACAGCAAGTCAAAAAATAATCTTCATTTTTTCAATCTATTAAGTAAGTGAACAATACACAGACGTTGATGAGTTTCAGCCCTGGTGGGCTTAAGTCATATCATTTTATGACTAAGCCCACCAGGGCTGAAATACATCAATGTTTGTGCATTGTTTCCCTACCTAATGGATTTGAATAAAGAAGATTTTATATATTTGACATGCCGTGTTGCCGACCTGTTTCATGAAGATTGTTCGACAGTGTTTACGGCTGTGGTCTGGCACAGGTATTGTCCCACACGTGATTGTAGCTTGACAAGGTAACTGCACCACACAACTTTTGTACTATATCTATGGAGCCACGCATGCACTCTCCTGGCCAGGATTAGAGCCAGCGCTGTGTGCGTCCATCTATACACATATTCCTGAATTAAGACACCCCTTTGTTCTCACCTCCTTCCTATTGATGGACAGCTGCTGGAGGCTTTGCTGTTCTTTCTTATTTGGCACTCAGTGTGGGCTCATCCCTACAGGAATTTCAGGAAAGCTGAACTTAGGAAGCAGGAGCCAACACCAGCAAATTTTAACAAATGTAAGCTTAGGGGCAATACTGTAAATAAGTTATGTAATGTACTGGGGAATGTTTCCCTTGTAGACAATAACATATTAGTTTCTGAATCTCAAATTCTGTTTAATACTGCTTTAAAATTAATTTGATGTTTCCGTGTTCTGTGTCTAGGGACCTGGAAGAGGCTCTAGAGATGGGTGTGGATTGGTCTCTAAGGGAAGGTTATGCTTGGGCAGAGGATAAAGAGCACTGCGAGGAGTATGGCAGGATGTTGCAAGCTGACCCTAGCAAGGTGTCTTCCAAAGCCAAGAAAAGAGGCCTACCCCAGGTATGGAACCAACTTATAGGACATTCACAGATGTCTCTAGGTTGCTGAACATTTAGCTAAGCCATGGTGTACCCATGTGCAGACAACTATGCTTTTCCTGTCAATCTGCTAATTTTTCTTTTTTATTTCTATACTCTTTTTACATGCTATCCTTTGACCATTTTAACTATATTTCCATATATATATATATATATATATATATATATATATATATATATATTTAAAACTATATTTTCCTTACATTGAGAGACACAGATTCTCGATTAAAGTGGAACATTGGTCAGAAAATTAAGTCACTTCAGGCACCCCTTTTGCAGGTATAGTCCTGTAAAACATTAAAGATAAGTGCCTATACTGTTTAAAATCCAGTAATAAACTGTCTTACCCAGCTCTGCATATGCTCAGTTGATCTCCATTTTTAGGCACTGCCAAACTTGTAGAGGCAATCTGCTGAGGCCTTAAAGCAGAATTAAACCCTCCTATCCTTTACAGCCAGGGATCTGCTTTTGTTTGATCTGCAAATGCCATGATTCTGCACAAGTGATCAGTTATGACACCAGACATTCGATAGCTTGACAATTTGGTTGAGGACACAAGCGAATGTGACAATTGACAATCCCGGCATTCCAGGAATGTAACTGATTTTTGAATTCGTTAGATTGATGGGTTTAATTCCGCTTTATAATTTACTGCTGTTTAGGGGCTCTGGGATTCAACAAACTGGCAGCCTCCAGCAAGAAGAAACAGGAGCAATGCTGGAGGCAATTTACAGCACACACTAAGTTTGGTGGCATAATTATTAATGTGGACTATGTGTTCCTTGCTAAAGAACATTATTATTTTTTATCACTTTTTTTATGGTTAAAGTTCTGCTTTAAGCAGCCTAGGGTTATACTGCCACCTACAGGAGAAATTAGCCCTAGGCACGTAAAAGCTGGAGGGCATCTCTTAGAGCAGGGATGTTGAATTAAAAATCACAGCTCCCCCATTTACTGTCCCCAGCCTCTCCATAATTGTCTTCAGCTCCTCCATTACTGTCTTAAGTCCCTGCATAATTGTCATCAGCCCCCCAACCAATACTATCCTCAGGCCCCCATTACTGTCCTCAGCCCCCCAAAATTGTCCTAAACTCCCCCTCAACTGCCCTGCCCTCAGCCCTCTCATAACTGTCATAAGCTCCCCCATTACTGTCTTCAGTCTCCCCATAATTGTCTTCAGCCCCCCTCATAATTGTCTTCAGTCCCCCCTCCCTAGCTCCCCCCTTACTTTTCTCAGCTGTCTTAAGCAGCCTTTCTTCTCATTGCCCCCCCCTCCTACCTTTTACAGACAGGGTGGAGGCACAGCGGGTCTGGACAGAGGTCCGGAGCTGCAAGCTGGTGATTGTTTGCTAGGACCTCCCTAGCAACCAATCACTTGCCTGTGAACTTGAGGAACAAACTTTCCATCCAGAACTGTCCTGCCTCTTGCTGTGGATTACGCGGATTACAGTGGTGATGGTTGCAGGGCACAACAGGCTTCTTAATGGTGGGACCGTGGTTGTCTGGACAGGACAGTGAGTCAGTCCAGATGCAGACCACAGTCTGCCATTTAGTGATACCTGCCCTAGAGACTAAAATCCATCCTATACTATTCATGTAGGTGGTAATAAAACCCCAGATTGTGCCAGGTTGAACTTCATCCATTTTTTTTTAAAAGTAAAAGTCATCTGCAAATACTGTAGCTGCTGATGTTTAAAAATCAGGTTTTTGCCATATTTTGGAGCTGTCTTTGCAAAGCCAATTCTTGTATTTTCTGGAGGTCCCCGGTACCGCCATTTTGGATTTGGGAGCTGGCTGTGATTCATCAGGCTAACCATTGCACATGCGCAAGAACAAAAGCGGCACGGTGAGACTAGTCCTGCAGCCTATTGTTCCATAGGCTCCCAATAGGCTGCAGACAGGAGGAACCTGTCAAAAACAGGTACCTGCTCCCAGTAAAGAAAAAAAACAAGATGTGTGGGGAGGATTTTAAGTGGTACATTAACTTTTGAATGAAGGTATGCTTCAGAAACTGTGTCTCTCTGTGATTTTCAAAAAAGAATTTATGGCATGTACAAAAAATCCTATTTTGGACATCTGTTCATGTTTTTTTCATGATTTAGTTTCATATGGTAGCCATAGCATGTATTTTTTTTCCATCCAAAGTTTTATAACAATACATCTAATTTTAGTTACTGTATTTTAAAACATTTTCCAGCCCATGGGGTTGATTTAATAAAACTGGAGAGTGCAAGTCTGATGCATCTGTGCATGGTATCCAATCAGCTACAAACTTCAGCTTGTTCAATTAAGCTTTGACAAAAAAAAAAACAAAAATGGAAGCTGATTGGTTTCTATGCAGAGCTGCACCAGATTTTGCACTCTACAGTTTTAGTAAATCAACCCCCTGTGTTTTTTTTCACATTCTCTTTGTTAGCTGGGAACTCTAGGTGCTGGGAACCACTATGCAGAGATCCAGGTGGTGGATGAAATCTATGATGAATATGCTGGCAAGAAGATGGGCATTGACCACAAGGGTCAAGTGTGTGTGATGATCCACAGTGGTAGCCGGGGCCTGGGGCACCAAGTGGCCACAGGTATGTTTTTGTGAATATGATTTACTAGACTGAGTTTTAGTAGATACCTACACTGTACATATAAATGTCACCAGCTGTGAATTAGTGTTTTCAGAATACTATGCCTCTAAAATGTAATTCCAGGCAGAATAAAAATCAAATGTAATCCAGTTGTTCATTATTTAAAAGGTATGTTTAGATACTGCTTCAGTAGGTATCTGAATTGTTTTTATGTTAAAGTGTATGTTAACCCAAAAAAATCTATATTACATAGTTATTGTTTTTGCGTATTAATACAGTTGATAAATTTCACCTTTTGCTTTTCTTTCTTTATTTGCTGTAAAATACCTGGTGATTTTGCAGCTCCTTTTGTTTCCTTTTTCAGTCTGACCACACCAAGCACAGTAGCAGATCTGTTCTGGCATGGTCAGTTTGCACATCTCAGCTTGCTACTTGGAGCTACAAGATGCCATGTCACTGCATGAAGTCCCTGTTTCTCCCATAGCCATGGATGGTAGGAGGGGATGGCAGGGTGATTTACATAGCTTCCTGGAAAGATCATAGCCCTGTTCTTCAGTTCTTCTCTCAGGAGCCCTCAGCCCTGATACAAGGAATGGACTGGCTCTAGCAAGGAGTTCTGCAAGTAGCAAAATTCCTTGAAGAGTGTATGTCAGCCTGCAGCAGTGGGCATTCTTATACACATTGGATGCGTATGCAGGCTGCCCTTCGTAACACTGAGCCTCCATGGGTAAAAGAACTGAAATCCAATCAATAAAAGAATCAAGCTAGGGACAAAATATGGGAAGGAAACTGCTTGATGAGCTGGACTTCCGCCAGCCAGGAAATGAGGTTGGCTCTTTCTGAACTGCTATGGCTTCTAATGCACACCGTTAGAAGCTCACCCTGTGCAGAGAAATCAAAGTAAGCAATTTCAGTATAGGGAGGAGACTGAAAGGAAGACTGGAGTTCAGATTTAAGGAAGGAAACCCTGTACTAAGGACTCGTTCACACCATATGTGCATGAAAGCTAATGGAAACTTATGTGCAAATTTCACTTGCAGAGTTATCTAGTTTCCATGCAAGCTGCAATGAGTTTTATACACGTTCCTCCAAAGAAAACAATCTGTACGTGATACCAGTGTTATTGTGTGAACGGCACATAGAGAACAATTCATTTTGTTGTACGCTTAAAGAATGCATGCAGAAAAACTGATGTCTATGCACCATGGTGTGAATGAGCCGAGCCCTAAGTCTCTGGTTGAGAAGGGAAGCCATCTGGGAGCAATACTATATTTGCTATACTGTGTAATACAAACCTAGAATGGTGTAAAGCAGAAGATGCAAGCTCTTCATAATACTAATTAGGACAGTTTAATTGACCTACATGTGCTTTTTATTTTGACAAATAATGACAGTCATTATTTTGCCTTGCAGATGCCTTGGTTGCTATGGAGAAAGCCATGAAGAGGGATAAGATCATAGTCAATGATCGTCAGTTGGCATGTGCCAGAGTTTCCTCTCCCGAAGGCCAAGATTATCTGAAAGGCATGGCTTCCGCTGGCAATTACGCCTGGGTGAACCGCTCATCCATGACCTTCCTTACAAGACAGGTGGGGGTTCCTAAGACCTAGACTGATTAAATAAATTTTCCACTAAGATTCATTGTTTTGTGTGGTTATCAGACAATGGGTAAATATATATTAGCCTCCTTTACCCTGTTTTGGAGGCCTGTTTGACCTGCTAAGGTAATGTGGGCTAATGAAGGCAAGCTGACTTTTAGGGATTCTCTTACTGTCATTCTGCATAACTTTGGGAAAGATGGACTTGGTGGCACTGGAACCCCCAGGTGGTTCTATTTCTATAGGCAGCTCTTAATGTACTGAAGGGTACTGAAGGGTTTTCAAATCCACTTATAGTGGTGCATCCAATGTGGTCCTGAGCCTCCGAAACATATTGGCTGCACCTACTGATCTTTGGATCCTAACCTCTTGGTGTGGCTCTTCTGTTCTTGCACTCCCTTTAGTTCCAGATGAAGTAACAGACATGAAGATTATTGGTTAGTTAAGCTGTGGCACATCCCTTTGTGCCTTTATTCCAGCACTGCAAGCTGGCATATAGTTCCAGCCAACAAGTGAAGAACCTCTTCTGTCTTGTGTCTCTTGTAGGCTTTTGCCAAAGTGTTTAACACAACTCCTGATGACCTGGACATGCATGTCATCTATGACGTCTCTCACAATATTGCCAAAGTGGAGCAGCACGTGGTGGATGGAAAGGAGAAAACCCTATTGGTACATAGGAAGGGATCAACGCGAGCCTTTCCACCCCATCACCCTCTGATTGCCGTGGATTACCAGGTGAGAAGACTTAATCAAACTTTCTAATAGAATATCTGTAAAATGTAGCCCAGTTCATCTAGGGTTTGGTAGGCCAGAGGTGACAACTAAAATGTTATTTTTCTCCTATAGCACTTTTGTTTAAAACACAAATAAAGGCTTTTGTATGACAGTCTTAAAGCAGAGTTCCAGTCACAATATAAAAAAATAAAAGTCTGCAGCTACTAAAACTGTAGCTGTGACTTTTAATAAACAGACACTCACCTGTCCCTTGATCCCACAGTGTCCTCATTGCAGCTAGTTTCACTGGCCGTCCTCTCTACCTAGAGCTGGCATCTTCAGTATGGGCACTCTGCTCCTAAAGCTTGTGGCTTCACAACCAGGTGCCCACTGTGCATGCACGAGCAGCGCTGCACTTTCTGAATGGTCCCGTAGTCTTCTGAGACCTGTCATGTGTCAAAGGAGACTACAGGGAGGGAGGGGGGAGGATAACTTCCACCTCCGATCTCCTTGGCGATTGCAGCGGAAGTGGGAGTGAGTACCTGTTAAAATTTGGTACCCCCCCCACCCGCTCCCCAAAGGTGCCAATCGGAGCGGGAGACAAAGCCTTAAAGTGGAACTCCCCCTTTTGGGTGGAGCTCCACTTTAAGTACCAAATCTAGATTCTATGTGATAAACTACCCTCATAAACAAAGAACTTTGGTTACCTTCCCGGACTATGCCAAATCCTCATTTATTAGTCTCATACGCTCTCCCTCCCAGAGACTGCAGCTCACAATGGGAGGGTTTCAGCAACAGAGGTAATGCTGTCAGTCCAGAAAGCAGTGGGTGTGACCAAGTGCGGAGTGACAAGCTGTAGACCTGAGAATCTCTGATAGCCATACCCCCTGAACCATTTGTATTATCTTACTGTAGTGCAAGCAGGCTCAGTCCAGCGGAGAATGGCATCTCTACTGTGACTTGTGCAGCATCGTTGCCACACATCCCTTGAAGCTGCATTATTTGGATGTCACTGACAGGATCAACAGGTATTTGTGGGACTTGCAGGAGATGGAGGGAAACCTCTCTGCAGATATAATTAGGTGCTGCAGCGCATATTTTTTTTTTTTCTTTTTTTTTTTAACGGCAGGCCATTGTTCTACCTTAAGCTCTTAAAGTTCTTTTACCTGGAACCTTGTATTATAGTTGCACACTTTAGAAACACTGCTAATTTAGTCTTCTTACCCTAGTTGACCGGACAGCCAGTGCTAATTGGTGGCACAATGGGGACCTGCAGCTATGTCCTAACTGGAACTGAGCAAGGAATGACTGAGACTTTTGGCACCACCTGCCACGGAGCTGTAAGTAGACATTTCATCTCGCATATATGGCTGTATACAAGCAGCCAGTGGCCTATTGTGTGCTGAAACCTAGATTGTCTGCTGCAGGGACGGGCTCTGTCCAGAGCCAAGTCTAGACGTAACTTGGACTTCCAGGATGTACTTGACAAGCTGGCAGACATGGGTATCGCTATTCGAGTGGCCTCACCAAAGTTGGTCATGGAGGAGGTAAGTCATGCAATGCTTTATTGGTTTCTGAAAAATATATTTGTTTTGATTTTTTTCAAAAGATGTCTAGATGAATTTGATGTCTTGGGACATAATTATAAGCAGTGTATTTACTGACAATTTACAGGTGGTTAATTCCCTTTAGTATAGGAGAAGATTAATCTGCAGTGAATATTTGGTGAATATGCCATTTACTGCTACTACTATAAATATGTTCCTTTGTTTAATTATGACATCAGTATTTGTTATGCTTAATTGAACCTTCAGTTTTTAAATTGGCTAAATACATTCCATTTACATCAAAAGAAAAGTTTTTGAATGCCTTGCAGATGGTTTTCTTTAAAAAGAAGCCACAGCCCGCATAGAAAAGCCTATCCCCTGCTAGCATGAGGTAAAGAAGGATTTTTGCTCCCTGTGTGGAAGCAGTGGTCTCATTTTAGAGGTTCAGCACACCCCTGATAGAGTTAGAGCCAAAGTTCTCCAATCAGCAGGAAGCTTGAGCTTTAGTCATTGCAGTGATATATTTCAGACTGGCCATGGAAAGGGGTATAGGACCACGGCTGTGGTTGCTTTCTAAAAAGAAAGAAACTGCAAGACTTTGTGTTTAGCCGACTTTAAACTGAATGTGCTTTTGGGCTTTATAGAAATATCTCAGGAATAGCTATAAGAACCTTCTAAGATATTTAATTTCAATGTGCAGGTTACTTTCAAATAATTGTTTTTTGTTATCTTTGTAGGCTCCAGAATCGTACAAAAATGTCACAGATGTAGTGAACACATGTCATGATGCAGGAATCAGCAAGAAAGCCATCAAGCTGCGTCCCATCGCTGTGATCAAGGGCTGAGCTCAGCGAGGATACAGGACTGTACACAAACTGAGAACGCTAAATTGGGAGGCCTTCCTTTTGTGGTGGAATTCCCGGTTATGAATCCTCATTTATCTCAAATCATTTTTTGTTGTATTTGTTTTTTTTTTTTCTTTTTGTTTTTATTTCTAATTTTTTCATTTCTTAACCCCTTCCCGCCACAGCCTCCCAGCCCTTTAGGAGGTTTTAAATGCTGGGAGGCAGAGGTGGGAATTCCAGTCATGTGACCACTGTGATTGGCTGTCACCACAGTCACATGATTGCAAAGCTCCCGATCGCAAGCATGCATCAGGAGCTTTCCAGTACCTGCCGGTTACTGTACTTGGAGCACACAGGGAGTGTGCTGTCAACACAGAGGTCGCATTTGAGTACGGCCAGCGGGAAGTGGTTAATTTTTCATTGCATTTCTCTGAATCCAATTACACCCTGTGTAACTGGAATTGGTCCTCAATAACAATGAAGTAGTTAGGGAGTCTTGGTTTTCTGCAGATTAGGATCTCCTGCTTTCTGTTTCTCTGCTTGTGTTCAAAGGAGCCTGTTGGGGAGGATATTATGGAACTCTCCATTTCTGCCTTGTATGACGCTTCCAGGGATGTGATCCTGATTATGTCTTCAACACTTAAGTTACTAACCAGGCAGGTATGCAGGGCCAATGTCTAATCTAGATATTGCTTGCCTTCTGTGTGAAAAACCTGTTGTGGAGCTACCATGTTTCTTACTACCAAAAGGTCTGCCTGCAGGAGGAAACAATGTCAGGCAGCCAGAAACATTGTTGTCAGCTATGTGATGTTCAGTCTGCCAGTTTATGATCCCAATGTTCCATATCTTTTAGGGGATTGAGACCTGAATGAGAGCTGCATCAGCATTTTTCAGGCCCTGAACTAATTATGTTTTGCATCATAATCTTTATGATACAGACAGTGTTTCTACAGTCATTCATTGGGGAACATATCAAACCTCGGAGTATACACCCTGCTTTTAGGAGGGTGGCACTACACAGAATGGCACTGTTCCTCTATTTGTGGCCCATATCCCTCTCTACACACTCTGGTTTCTTTCCCCAGTCCTTATAGGACACAATCTCGATGTAATATTCAGCAAGGAACAACAGCGTGCACTGCGGGCCAGGTGCCTGACAGTCTTCAAGGCTGCAGACTTTGAGGTGTGGGAGGGTGAGTCCTAACCCTTTCCTTATCATGGAAACCTTTTTTTTTTTTTTTCTTTTTTTTAAACTAGCGGCAGAGACTCTTGCTTGGTTGCTAGAGACAAAGATGATTCTTTACAGGTACTTTTGAGACATGAATGGCAATGCTGTCAGGGTTATCTATTATGACCCTGTCAGACACTAAAAAGTCCATCTGAATAGCAGAGGTATTATACTCCTAGCATTGTTCAGTCCAGCTTCAGGGAGCAAGGAAAGGATGCCCTATCTAATTCCAGTCTTCACTTATACAATGTTACTATGTTGAAGACTCTCTCACCAGCCCTGTCACATGATGTTATTTACATACTTCTCCATATGTGGAAGTACTGAGTGTTCTCTATTTCTGGATGAATGGGGCAGTGAGAAATTTGAGTACATGCTGCTGTTGTCACTTTAATGTACTGTACTTCCTACCTGGCAACCAGTCAGCTTCTGCCTTTCTTGATGCTACAGCAAGAGAGAACTATGATGTTGGTTGGTTGTTAGAAGGGATGCAAACTGCTCTGGAGTCTCACTTTTTATCTGATGCCTTGGCTTTTACCACCGGATCACAGTTGTTAAATAGGCTGGTTTTATTTAAGGTTGGTTTCATACCTTTGCATCAGCATTTTCAGTTATTTTTATGTGAGTTATTCACGATCGTGCCATATTCCCACACTTGCCACTATCATTAATAGACCATATAACACATGTCAGTGCATCAAGAAATGGACAATGCATGTCAACACTTTACACAGATGTGGTCCAGCACCAAAAAGTTGGCTTAACCTATGTGTATACATTGACATGAGTTAAACCTGCCAAGGATGTAAATGGGCCTTAAAAAAAAAAAAGAGGCCCCTTTTCACTATATTGGTTTTTGGTTTATGTAAAGCTCTCAAGTACACTGTTAACTTGCTTCAGAACTCAATATTAAGTAATGAGGATGAATTCATTTTTATGATTATTTATTGGGGAGGTATGTTCTCAGGCAACTTTTGAACACCTTTAAAGAGCAGTCAGGCGCTGTCACTTTGATAAAACCCTCAAGAACAATAAAAACAAAATTTTGTCTGCCTACCCTGGTTTATACAGTTTTGTTTTTACTGTGCTCCATATGTCTGCATAGAATTGCTGATTAGATTATTTTGTATATTTCTAAAGGCTTTTGGGCAAATTAACAGGTGTTTTTTTTTTTTTTGCGTTACGTCTATATTATTATTTCTTGAGGAGTCGAGATTACTTTGAAGTAGGCCCCCCTTCTGTTAATGGATAACTGTTTTATTTTATTTTATTTTTTTTTATTGGGCTTTTTGGATTGTCCTGATATGGCTATCAACAGTGAATTGATAGGGGCACACAATGAAGTCCCTTGTTTTGTTTAGAAGGGTTATTGTGTGCCTTCGCCTGTGAAATTAAAAGCATTATGAGCAATAAAAAATTACCTTTTGTGTTTTATTTAGTTATTTTTCCATTTTTAATGTGAACAAATATTTTTCCTTTACTAAGCCATATAACTGGTCCATTTTACAGCATTTTATTTCCTCCTACACTGCGCTTGGCCATCATAATCTCCTGACAAGCCCTTTGTGGTAATTTTGACTTACTGTGAAAGTCGAAACTTTTCTAGGGCTTTACCTAATTCTCTGCTCCCATGAGAAAGGCCTGGTAATTGGCAGCTGTAGTGTAGAGGGCGCCATTATGTCTTTTGCATACCTGGAAATGCCAAGTATTTCTTGGCTAATGGCAGATCTGGGAGTGCAGGGAAGGTACAAGATGCATGAATGTCCCTCAAGTAAAATGATCCAGTATGGTGAGATTTTGGAAACTAGCAAACTGCTTGTTAAAGAATTAAGCTATACAGGAAACATCCTGAGTAAGCTTATTAGTAAGGATGCACATAAGGCATGAAGGTGAATTGTAATGATTGATGTATAGCTTGACCTTGATCCAAGAGCTTGCTGGTTTCTAGAATCCCACAGTATTGGACCAGCATTCTGCTTGTTTGATGTGATTGGCAGTCAAGCAAGGACTGTGATCCAGATGGATGCCAGAGAGGAGATATGAAGTGTACCTCTGTGCAGTAGCAGTCTTCATTGTCCTTCCAGTAAAATCAGTGGTCATAAAATGGGGCTTTTATATTGGTTAATAGTTATATAAAAAAAGCAACTACAAACACATTTTTTAACAAATCAATCTTCCTGTTGACTTTTTTTAATGTAATATTTAAGTTTTCAAACATTTTTCAGTTTTTTAAATTGCCCATTGCACTGAACTAGAAAAGACACATACAATTAAAAAAATCATACTGTTTGTTTCCTGCTAAATACATATTTTTTTTTACTTTTAATAAATGTATATTAGAGGTTTGAAAAACATCAATACCGTAGTTGTAGGAAATTGTTTGCTTATACAATAAACAATCGTGTAATAAAAACTATGTAGAGAACAATATTAGGACCACAGCCACATGTTGAAAAGACAGCTGACTTACAAGTCTACAGTATTTGTATACGATGAAGATCTACGTAGAGAAATATTAAAATGGAACTTTACCCTCTCATTCACCATTAACTATTTGTAAACATTATGCTCCCAGCCTTTGTAAATAGATAGGAAGGTATATTATATTTACTTGTTTTAATTTTTTTTTTTTCTTTACAATTCTTTAGTTCATTCCTGATCTAGGCCAAAATGATGTCATACATCCTAGGAATCTTCATAGGCAGTGTATTTTTTTCTTTCATCTGGAGGAGGGGCTTTCTTAGCTAAGCACATCCTCCTGCCTGTAGGCTATGTAGATGTGAACTCTAGTAGGTTAATGCTACATGAATCATGTGCCCTTACTCAAGATGGCTGTGTCTATAAATACTAGGGGGTGTTTTTCAAAGTTATTTCTCAATAAAATAAAGCAAGGAGACATGGATGGATGGGTTTGCTTTGAATATTAAAAATTAATTAATTGAATAGTGGTTTCACTCTGCAGTGCTCAAATACAGTTTGGTTATGCTTTAATCTGACATATATCATCCAAAATGAAGGGGAGGGGATATATTGTCTACTTCTAAAAACTATAACATATTTGCATCTTAGGGATATTTAATTTCCAGCTAAGTGCCAATTATGGCATGAGTTCAGTGTAAGTAATTGAGTGTGGTCCTTCTCAAGAGAAAAAGAAAATTAAAGTGGAAACAGGGTGAAGGTATTGAAAATGGAGATGGAGGGTAGATATAGGAAACAGGAGGATACAAAAAGTGGAGTTTTGGGGCATAGGGGGCGGGAATATGAAGACATCGGGGCTCCCCACCAAAGCTCACCGCCTGCAAGGAGGAATAACTAGAAATTGTTAATGAAGGATGCATGTGATGTGCTAAATATATAATATTTAAAACATAGGCCTACAGGATCAAACCTGATTTTTTTTTTTGGGGGGGGGGGGGTTTAAAAGCCCAACTCCATCCGTTTTTTTTTTTTTGTTTTTTTTTTTTGTTAATGATGAAGGGTTAGAACTTCTGTCTGCTTGTAATTGCTGTTTTTGTCCCTGCTGGGAAAATTTCATTTGCTATGTGGTTTGTGGGGCTAGAAGTGATGCTAGAAGTGAAAGCAATCATTAGGGTCAAAGCCATGTCGAACAGTTGAGTCTTCACGGAGTGGGTTTAGAAGTGCTGGAAGTCTGGAGAATTGATGTAATCCAACAGTTAGGTGGTGTGACTGTAAAGAATGTGAATATTTTTTGGCAGCTTTTGCACACCAAAGGATTTCCACAATTGAGAACTGATGCACCCCCCCCCACTGT